AGTGTCAATTGTATTTCAGAAAGTATTATTCGAATTTCAGAAAGCGTCAATTGAATTTCAGGAAGAATTAATTGTATTTCAGAATAGTCAATTGAATTTCAGAAATCTTTTTCTATAGACTGTAAGCCAGCGACCGCCAGACGCCATTTCAACAAGGTTGATATTTTCTATGTGTGGTATACCTTATTCGGTGGAATCGTTTTGTGGGTTGAAAATCTTCAGTACTGGATGAGCTTTCAAGAGATACCGGGTGTTGAAAGTACAAAAAAAACTGGCATAAACATCATTTCAACGAAAGCTGATATTTTTATGTTCAACCGGATCCTATCATGAAAGAGAATATACAATTGCCAGACACTTTCCACGGGGTGTTCGCCTGTCAGGCAACTTCATAAGTCGTGAAAATATCATGACATTCACCTCATAGCAACAGAGCTTGATTTTGTAAATGTTATTAAGGAGCCTATTCCACAGTATCATTCAAACATCCATCAGTCACTTCCGATTGGACACACATGTAAAATCAGAACTTTTTTATAGCAATAGAAAGAAGTTTATCTCTGATTGTCCCCTCTATACCTGAAATTCTGTGATCTGTTCATCGAATAGTATACAGGGTGATTCACATAACAACCGATATAGGGCAGGGGCATGTAGGAGGTCCCAAAATATGGCAATTTAACGCAACTTACCACTATACCAAGTTACTTCCCTAAGGAGTTATAGGCATAGCACTAACAGCATGTCAACTGGCTCTTTAAAAGAAAACTTCCCGTTCATTTCAAAAACAGTCAAACAACGATTACTTAATTGAACAACTCACTCGCCCCATTGTCAAGTTTGACGTTCATTTTCATTGCCAACTTTTGAATTTTCGATGATTTTAAATAACACACCTAGTGCGCGCGTTTTCAGTTATTCGAGTTTTTGATGAAAATGATGGGGTTTTTCGAAAATTTACCAGAGTAAGAAAAGTTTTAGAATTGCATTGTTCACAAAACAAAGCAAAGAATTTTGGAATCCATCGAGGGTTAACAAAATTATGTTGAATATTAATGGTGCGCCACCCGGTATACCCCCTTCACAAATTTCAATTAAACTCTAGTTACTGTCAAGTAACGCTCCAAATACATCCACAAAGTGTACCAAATTTGGTTGCTTTAAGTTGAAGGATAACGAAGATATTGATTTTTTTTTCAAAATTTATAACTTCACTTTCAAAGCCTATATCTCCTTAGGGAAGCAACTTGGTATAAAGGTAAGTTGCGTTAAATTGCCATATTTTGGGACCCCCTACATGCCCCTGCTCTATGTCGGTTCTTATGTGAATCACCCTGTATAGGTACATAAAAAAAAATTGGGGTGAATAAATTGAAAACATCACTACAGGAAGCACAGAACATCGTATGCATTCTTACATGGAGTGCACTTTCTACTAACTAATCGATCTTGATGCATTCTGAAATTCAATTGACTATTCTGAAATACAATTGACGCTTTCTGAAATACAAGTGACTATTCTGAAATACAATTGATGCTTTCTGAAATTGAATTGACGCTTTCTGAAATACATCTGGAAAAGGTGTAGTATATAGTCACTTGTGTTATAATATCATTTTATGGGGTAACTCGATCAGTCGATGGAACTGAAATATTTGTGACACAAAAACAAATCATTCAAAAGATGTTCAGACTAGAATATCAATTGACTTGTAAGCCCACCTTTATGAAATATGAAATAATGTCTTTATACACAACCTGGAGCTAAAATCTACTCCTTTTCTCTCTTGTATAATAAATAGCTATTTTGTGATTTGTAGTGATAACCTATTTTCATTTATTGCCCCAATATCGCAAACACCCTAATTCATTAGGCTAACCAATATTAGGGAGATTTTGATAGTGGCCTGTTGTTGTCAAATATGCGAACAATCGTTAATTTGTATCAAAGAGAGTACAATCACAATATCTTCTAATACTATTTTATCCTTAAGCAAATAATTAATAATCTGATAATCGATACTATCAAATCCTTAAACAAATAATTAATGATCTGATAATCGATACCTTTTATCTATACTAATATTATAAAAAAGGAAAGATTTGATTGTTTGTTTGTTTGTTTGTATGTATTGAATAGGCTCCGAAACAACTGGATCGATTTGGCTGAAAATTGGTGGGGAGGTAGCTTAGTTCCAGGAGAAGGTTATGGGATACTTTTTATCCCGGTTACATTGCGAAATTCAAGATGGATCTAATATATCGGACGAGTTATGTGATTATGGTCCGATTCTATTAAAATTTGGTAGCTGGTGGTTCTCGGGGTCGGAGATTATGATTTTTTCGTCAAAATTAGGAAATTCAAGATGGCGCACCCAATATGACAGACGAGTATTGTAATTATGATCCGAGTTTTTTCAAAATTATTATCGGGGTGTTTTCGGGGTCGGATATTTTAATTCTTCTGTCAAAATTTGGGATAGCGAAAATTTTTAAGTGGGCGTTTTCGGGATCAATAATTATGATTCCTCCGTCAAAACTAGGGAATTCAAGATGGTAGATCCAATATTGCGGACGAGTTTCGTAATTATGTTCCGATTCAATTCAAAATTTCCATCTGTGGTTTTAGGCGTCGGATATTATGATTTTTCGTCGAAGTTGGGAAATTCAAGTGAACTTAAAAGAAGTTGAAATAAATGTTGGTTTGAAAAACAAGAGAAACACGCTTTTATAGATAGCGAAACTGAAAAGGAGTAGAAAATAAAATAATCATAGTGTCTTGATGAATATTCAACTGAAAAAATATATTATAGAAATAATGTATATGGTGAAACAACGTTTGCGAGGTCTGCTAGTTCACTATAAGAGGATTGAAAATTGTGTCATGCTGTATCATATGTTTCATAATGCATACATCAGGATATTTTATAGTTTTGATGAGCCAACCATCAGTAAAAGTCCCTGAGTATAATAGGTTAAGCGCTATTTAAATAACCCTTGTTTCGATTTCCATTGGTTTTGGTGGGTTCCTTTGCATTATAAATATACATCCTACAATGTTGAAGCCGCAAGAACCAGGCCTGAATATATATATAAAGTATGTCTCACTAAATTGAAACCATGAATTATTATGTAAATCAATTTTTTCTTACTCCTTCAACGAAAAAAAGTTATTCCTCATAAAATGTTCTGATATCTAGAATACAATCATCAGATTCCATTTCTTTCACTCGTATATGCGATGTGTCGAAGAATGTAAAGTTTACTCAAGGTTCCTTCATACCGGTTGTCCCAATTATCGTACACAGGCAATATTTCGCTTATTTGACAGGATAATTAAAATATTCAAAAAGTGCATTGAAATACATTTGATCACCTTCCTAATTACATATAAAAACATTAATTACATTCGACAGTTCGCTGGCAACTACCCCTCCTTTTTATTTTTGAATAGCACCCCTGTATATTGTCATTGGAAATTACGTGTCATTTAACTTGGAATACAACGATAGCGTATACTTGGTATTTTATCATTGATAACAACAGAAATATCAACATTTTGTGACTTGACTCAAGGTTTTGGATGTATGATAAATTGATATTGATCATACAGGACGTGGCAAGAAATTCTGAATTGAGAAAACCTAATAACGAATCTGTGATTGGAGTGTATAAAAATAACAAGTTTCCATCGTTCAAGTTTGATCTCCTTGATTGGGTGGATTATTGACGAAGAATATTCTCAGATATAATTATATGAACAAAAAAAATGGATATATACAGGGTGTCCCGTAAGAACTACGTCAAACCATGGGAGAATGTAGATCAAAGGATAACCCACCTGCTTTGACAAAATTTCCATTATAAGTCTTACCGTTTTCGAGATATTTTTTCTTGTTGGAAATATCGAATTTTTCACTCTTTCACTAGTTTTGTCTGTACGGTTGGTACAATTTTACACCTTTTCGGTTCATTTTTTCGGTAAACATTGCTGAAGAATGATTTTAACGTATACATCAAAAACATTTTCCGAACATTCTAAAGAGGGGCTGTGAGAAATAGTTTTATTGAAAACTTTGGTAGTGGATATTTTCAACAACAAAAAAATCTTGATAACGGTTAGACTTTCATAGGTAATGAAGATTTTGTCATATGCAGGTGGGTTATCCTTTGATCTACATTCTCTCTAGGTTTGATTTGGTATTTACGGGACACCTTGTATATAAAGAAATACATTGAGAATTTGTATTCTCCATGTGATGAGAATATTGATTCTTTTTTGGTTTATTCAACAGAAAACATATACTTTTCTGGTATATCTTTATATGAAGGAGAATGCAAATTCCCTACTTCAGAAGATTTTGTTCTCAAATTCTTGTCGTGTGTGTTCAATAGATATAATTCAATTTTCGTCGTGGCATATAGCCAGGAATAATACGAAGAAGAATTATTATTCTCATCACATGGAGAATGCGAATTCTTAATGTATCTCTTTATATATAAATTTTTTTTTGTTCATAATCATATCTGAGAATATTATTTATTATTTATTTAAGAATTGTCTTGGCTCGAGTTTTTTGTTTCAAAAAGCCGATTCTTCTTATGTCAGAGTAATTTTGAACACTTGCTGGGATTTTTATTTCATTTATTTGAGTCGCATGAAAGATATTTTAGTTGAAATTCATATATTGAATTTTGCTGTTTTTTGTTGTTTTGATAATAACAAAATATCGAGTATATGATATTGTTGTATTCCTTATTTCATTTCCAATGACAATATACAGGGAATGTCATTTGAAAATAGAAAGTGGGGTATAGCTGCCTGAGAACTGTCAAAAATAGTAGATTTCCATGTGTTTTCAGGAAGGTACTGTAATGCCATTCAATGCAGTTTTTGAATTCTCCAATTATCTTGTCAAATAAGCGAGATATTGCATCTGAACGATATAACTTGGGACACCTGTATTAGTATAAGGTTTAATACTTTCGTTTTTTTTTCAGGGTTATCACTTCTAATTATTGCGATATCAGCAGTAGTGTGCATAATAACAACGCTCTCCTTATCAGCCATTTGCACAAATGGAGAAGTCAAAGGAGGTAAGGACAAAACGAATGACGAATATAAAAAAATAAGCAATGAAACGTAAAAAACATTTGGGCCTATTTATGTATCATTGTCTGAGTCTTAGTCTTAGTCACAGTCTTTGTTTTAATCATAAAACCAAGTTTTGAGCTTATATTTCAATAGGTGAATACATGCAAAATTTTTAGTCTCAGTCTTAATCATAATCATTGAATCATGAACTTCAAAGTTGCAAACTTTGAATTTTAATGCCTATGATTGAGAAAACATAAGAAATGCGCGTGTGTCGACCTGTCAACGTATTTAACAATTGCTAGATCTCATAACTAGGAGATCTAGGATGAACAGAGTTGCCCCAATTGTCAGCAGGAGCGAGACAGTACTGTTTCGACTCACCAGGTCTTATCAGCCACTCTCGGTCTGCTGACAACTGAGACAACTCTACGCTTCGGGTATATCACCCATTTCAAAGACGTAGGGTATAACATGAAGTTATAGTCATGTTGTAGCCATGGCAAAGCTCTAGGATACAGAAATCGCGACACACACTGTATGGCGCTATCTATACGCTACAGAGTCATACTACAAGTAAACCACTCAGCTGACAGATGGCACTACCTGACATACTTGAGTGGAATTTTTCCACCACCTATTCAACTGCTAGATTTCATAACTAGGAGATCTTGTATCGTAAAGCATATTGACGTAGGGGTCTGTAAGTGTGACTACAGATGGCAGCGCCATACAGTGTGTGTCGCGATTTCTGTATCTTACCTTAGAGCTTTGGCTACAAAAACGAGTGAAAAGATAGAAGAAGAAGTAAAACTGGTGAACAAAAACATACATAACCACAAATGCACTCCGAGCAGGAATGCAGACGGTAGTTGGCTTCATTCTGACAGGTTATGATTTTGTTATTTCATGTATTGAAATATCTCGAATAGAGCTCGCTCTTGAACGAAAATATCATTGAATGAATGAATCACTATCGGCCACATTGAATGATACTATCCTTCCTAATTTACTGTCATCAGTCAGATCAGAATGAAGCCGACACCCATGGCTCCTTTTTCTTGTTGTGCCTGTCAGTATTTTCAGTGGTGTGGACAGAATCGGAGATTTAGGTGCTGTTGTAAGACATAATCTGCAACTGTCCTAGAAAATAGATCCGTTTTATCAAGAAACGAATTCATTAACAACAAAAAAAGACTAACAAGGTATGAATTACATATTGTAATATGAAGATATAAGAGAAATTATAGATACTATCGAAAACGAAAAATATATCATAATTCATCTTAGAGAAATGAATTCGTTCCTTAATAAAACGACGGATCTATCTTCTAGGAGAGTTGCACATTATATCTTGCAACAGCGCCAGATACTTCGAGTCCGTCCATACCACTCAATATATTGACAGGCACAACAAGAGGAAGGAGCCATGGGTGTCGGCTTCATTCTGTTCTGATCGATGACAGTAAATTAGGAAGGATAGTTTCATTGAATGTAGCCCATAGTGATTCATTGACTCAATGATATTATCGTTAATGATCGAGCTTCATTCGAGATATATCTCAATGCATAAATAACGAAAACATAACCTGTCATAATGAAGCCAACTACCCTCCGCATTCCTGCTCCGAGTGTATTTGTGGTTATGCATGTTTTTGGTCACCAGTATAACTTCTTCTATTTTTTTTATTTTTTAGCTATTCGTTGGATATTTGATAGCTTTATTCTTCACCATCAGCTATTTTCAGACTAGATTCAGAAATTGCTTCAATTTGAAAATGAAAACGATTTGGACATTATCGGTCGCCAATCTGTACAGCGTGGGCATAAAACTGGAGAGTTCCGAACTTATTTCATGAAAATTCATCTGAACGAAACTTCTCCATTAGGTGTACATGATTCTGAGGGCAATGCATTATGACATTTTTGTTAGACAAAAAAAAAACAGAATAGCGACTTCAAAATAGCGGACGAGTTATGTAATTAGGATCCGATTCGATTCCAAATTGGTATCTGGGGGTTTTCGAGTTCGGAGATTATGATTCTTTCATCAAAATTGGTGAAATCAAGATGGCAAATCAGATATGGCGGAAGAATTTCGTTATTATAATGCGAATCTATTCAAAATTTGTATCTGTTGGTTTTTGGGGTCAGAGATTATGATTCTTACATAAAAATTTGAGAATCCAAGATGGCAGATCCAATATGGCGGACGTGTTTGATAATTAAGGTCCGATTGTAGTTTTAATTAATATCCGGAGTTTACGTGGTGTGAGATTGTCAAAATTGGAAAATTCAAGATGACGAATTCAATATGGTGATCGAGTTTTGTAATTATATAATCCGATTCATTTCAAAATTGGCATCTAGTGGTTTTCGGGGTCACTCGTGAACATCTATATTTCGATTGCTTTATGAATAAATGTTTCAGGTGGAATTTATTACATAATATCTCGATCTCTCGGACCGGAATTTGGAGCTTCAGTAGGAATCGTATTTGCATTTGCTAATGCAGTATCTGCATCGATGAATACCATTGGATTCTGCAATTCCATGAGCGATCTGTTGAAACTATATAATCTTCAAATCATTGACGGAGATGTTCATGACACTAGGATAATAGGTGAGTTGAAACAAATATATCAATTTTTTCTTCAACGATTTGTTCTATGTTGTTTGTTTAATATGCGACAGATACAGTGTGAATGTATAAATGCCTCTTTATCTATGTCGAAGACTTTCCACATAGCATGAGGTATCCGTTTCATGTCTAATTCTGGTCAGGATATTCCTATAGACTTCAAATGGACATTCATAAGATATCCATCAAGGGTCTGTGATGAATATCCTTCAGTTGATATTTTATGGGTATAGCCACAAGATATCCGAAGCATACGAAAAGTTCATATTAAATACGGTGATATCAATTAGAAAATCGATATTTGGAATATTTTCTTCTTGTTTTCTAACGTTTGCATACAAAATTATGATCTTTTGATAAATATTCTTACAGTTTCCTTCTTCCTAGGCTTCAGATGAATATTCATGAGATATACAATGATGGAATCAAATAAGACAATCTTTAGAAGATAATTTATGGATCCCTAATAACACAATAACATCTGTAAGACGTCGTAGAAACATACATATATGAGATGATAGGACCATCTCTGGAAAATCCCTATTTTTCTTGGGACATTCTTGGGATGTTGCTGGCAACACCCTTGTCAGCATTTGCTATAAACATCCCATCAGAATGTTTGTGGGATGTTACGGGATGTACCAGAGACATTCAGGGTACTTGATATGGAATATCTTGAAGAAAGTTCTAGAATGTTTTTTGTTTGATGACAGTAATGGATGGCACGGTATGAATTATTTTCAATCTGAAATCCTGAAAATGGACGACCTAGCTATTTCGAGATATAAAAGTAACAATCCGAATCCGAAAATATAAGGTCGGTGCGGTCCAATAACTAATGGAAGATGGTAACGCAGTTGTTTGAGGCTCATATTTGTTGGCGCTGGGCCGACTGCTGTTAGTAACTCTTAGCAACGTAGTTGTACCGCCATCTATCGGCTGGTATAGCAAATAACTTCAGCAGTAAATATGCTGGAGAGATATATTTCAATTTTGTTGTTCATTACATGGTTCAGGAAGTTAAGCAGGTACTTTGGTAATCCTATTGAGGAATATTTAGTATGATTATTCCAATTTGTTATCGATGAAATCAGCCGGCTTTGGTATAGGTATGAGTATATGAGTACGAATACAGTTTTGATTTCCATTTTTTATCAACTCTTCAATGTTTCAAATGACACAGTTGTTTGAACTATTCAATCATGTCAATCATCATTAACGAATATGGAACCATGATATTGTTCATAAAAAAAAGATCAAATGGGATGTTTCTAGAACATCCAATGAAAACATCTGATGGATGTCCCAAGAGAAACATCTCTGGGATATCGCACCTAAGTCTGAAACATTGGGACATTTGTAGGACCTTGGTGGGATGTACCAGCAAGATCCCGTGTTGTTAGGGATATATATATAGCCCTCCGTCTAGCCTTGAGGTAACCAAAGGAAACATAAATTGATATAAATACAAGAATAACTGTTCAAAATCTATATTTTTATTTCTGTAAAAACATTTTCGTACAAAAAATATTGCCTTACTGAAGAGTACTCGTATCTTTTTCTTGGACTTGGGATATATCCATGGTATATTAGTCGATGGAGTCGAAACATATTATATCCTCTGGAGAATATCCTACATACATACCCATTCATTGGGTATAAGAAGTAGTCATAAATAATATGAATATCAAGCTGAATTTACATTATCCATGTGTTTTTTTTTTTGTATACAGAGAAGTGCCCAAAAAACGACCAGGATTGTAACTTTTGAATTATTCTAGATAGGGTTTTGAAAATTGGTGGGTGGCAAGTATACAAAACTGCTCAATAATTGATGAAACAATTTATCTTCTATCACTTTCAAATTCACCGGAAACGACCCCAATTTCTGATTTTTAAATGATTGTATTCCATGATCGGTTAGGGATTATCATGACGAATTCAACGATACTGGGTTTGATAGGATTATTTCAAACGATCACAAAGATATTTGCGTTCGAAGTTTCTATATGCTCAATGCCTCAATGGGTGTGACTTCGCAATATCAAAATTTCTTTCTTTGTCTTGAGCATATGGAAACTTATAACACGAATATCTGCGTAATCGTTTGAAATAATCCTATCAAACCCAGTATCGATGAATTCGTTATGACAATCCCTAACCGATTATGGAATACAATACAGGGTGTCCCATTTGAAAATCAAAAGTTGTTATGTGCATTACTCTGTATGTATTGTACAAATGATGTATCTTTTTGGAACAAATCTAATCTTGAGTTTTGTTCCTGGACATCCATGTAATATTCATATGTCATTTCGAAATATGTATCCGTTAATAGTAGGTATATTGTTTCACGGGTGACGAAAGTAACATTTCATGAATCGAGTGAACAGTTAACGGAAAATATCAAAATATATTTTCGATTGGTGAAACACAATACGTTTTCTTCAACGCTGGAGAGGAAAAAGTTTGACATTTCATCTCTATTGACAGGTAACAAAAGGCACTAATTTAATATTCGTCACTGAAAACGAAAGTTCACATTGTGAGAATTATTCCCCTCCTTGCGACGGAAAACACGTATTCGCTAAACGTATATACTCTATCACAAAATTAAATCTTTTCATGAAGAGTTTTAGAAAAATAATATCCTACGGATATAAACATGAAATATCAGAAGCAAATCTTAATTGACATGACATTCATCGATGTCATTTCAAAAAACTGAAGAGCATATAGTTTTTTTCATTCTCCATAATTTTGTTTCCTAAGATTGTCATTCTCTAAGAAGTGATATCAGTTATGATTGGTTTCAATTTATTTTCAAATTCGATGAAGATATTCCATAATATTCCATCCTTTCCGAATGTATTCTTGTTTTTTGTGTTATAATTCTCATTCAGTTCAATATCCAGAATATAATAATTTTTACATTCAATTCTTAAAATTTGAATAGGTTTATTTGTTTCGTTACCCTCTTGGTTTTATTCCACTAATGTTCTGGGGAACTTTACATGATAACCAAATGCGATATCCCTGAAATATAGCTTGTTGATATAATATAATATGTGGACTATCTCGTGGACATCCCTGAACATTGACATTATATTGTAGAAATTCGAAACTATATGTCATAAATATGCCTCAAATATATCTGATGAATATTCCTGAAGGATATCTTATAAAAGTTTGGCTTCTTCCACTCGGAACATCCATTGGACGTCCATGAAATATACATCTAGTGAATGTTCTCTGGATATCCCGAATACGACCCTAAATGGATATTCATCGAATAGCCGTTTGTTGATTGGCATGATTTTCATAGGATTCGTTTCTATATGCTCATCGCGTTGTTTTTCCATGACTCTGAATCAGCTGCTGACCTTGAAATTTTCAGGTACGGTGGCCCTTCTCGTCATGATCCTGATTTGCGCTATCGGCATGGAATGGGAATCGAAAGCTCAAAATTTCCTAATAGCCGCCATTGTGGGAGCCATGATAGATTTCATGGTCGGGACCATCATTGGACCCACTGATGACTTGCAGAAGGCTAAAGGTTTCGTTGGATTCAATGGTGAGTATATTTACCCATGTACAGGGTGATATTTTCAAAACTTTCCACCATCGATATCTTCCTTCCAGTAAGTAATATGGAGAATCGAGAAGTCAGGTCAATTTTATTTTCAAGGGGAACACTTGAAATGAATATTTCCAGCCCTCTTGGTTTCACCCTCTAGGAGGGGTAGATTTAACCCTTAAAATCTCAAATCACCTGACGAAGCTACTGTGTTAGCGAAATATGTCGTGTGTTTGAGAATTTTGTGGAAATTTTATCGTTTGTGATATTTTTACATTTGCCATGGATTCCCATCAAGAAATGTCCGAGTTGATTGAAAAAAAAAGAAGAACTTCCCATCCTTAATATATTTCTTTAGGTGAATAAAATAAAAAATCGAGAAGATATGTCAATTTCAATGTAAAGGAGGATACTTTGAATGGATATCTTTTCTTTAGCCCTCTGGGAAGAGGTAGATGTAACCCTTAGATCCTCATATGAAGAGGGTGTCCAGATGCGCATTAGTTCAATCCTCTTTTCAACAGTACCCTAGTTTATGATTTTTTGATAAGCAGGTTCCAAGAAATGACGTTCTAAACTTTCAGGAGTAATTAGAACATGCCTGCACTGAAATGCAATCAAAATCTTCCTACCATAACTGAAAGGGTGAATACAATAAAACCAACCTGAAAACCATGCTTATCAGTCGAGATATCAGTGGAGGCATGTTCTAATTACTTCTGTAAGTTCAAAACGGCATTTTTCGAAACATACTTATCAGGAAATGAAAAATTAGGGTATAGTTGAAAAGAGACTTGAACGCCCTTCAAAATTATGTGCATCTTGACCTTCTTTTTCATATAAGGTTCTAACCTCCTAGGGGGTTGAACTAACAGGGCTGAACATATGCATTTCAAGTGTCTTCCTCAGAAATGGAATTGATGTGTCTTTTCGATTTTTCAAAGGGTAACTTCTACCCCTCCTAGGGGGATGAACCAAGAGGTCTAGAACTATTCATCATACTGCACTGATGAGAGTCAAACAGCTCGAAACCGGTCTGTAGGTGTCTAGCGTGGCCTGGCTAAATCCAAATCAATAGGCATTCAGGAAAGAATCACTTGTGGAAATGTCTTCGAGCTCTTAGTATTTATTTAACATTTTCACTTCCACTTTGAGCATTGTGGCTATTCCGTAGTTAAAATTATGCCAGTCGGGCAACCAGCCACTATCGAATGACAATTTCAGTTTTGGAGTGATTCTTTCCTTCTTTTCCACTCAGATGGCGTTGCTTTCATATTGTCTATGGAGGACGCCTCTGGGGGAATAAAATGCCTACTTGACTTTCATTTGGCTTGGCAACGCTAAGTCGGCGGTCTAAGGACTGCTAGCTGGAGACAGCCCTTCACTCATGAGAGTCGAAGAGCTCGAAACCGGTCTGTAGGTATCAAGCGTGGCCTGGCTAAATCGATATATCAATAAGCATTCAGGAAAGAATCCCTTGTATCAGTATTCGTTTATACGAGTCGATGCATAGATTTCGAGAGGATTTTCTGCGTGGCATTAGCTAGGAAAGTAGTGGTTTCTTTCTCGAAATCTAACATTGTTGTTTATTTTATAAACATTGTGTGGAAATGACTTCGAACTTTTTGTATTTCTTCCACATTTCATTCCACTTTCAGCATTGTGGCTATTTCGTAGTTGAACCTTGTTGAATATTCAACGCCACCAAAACTCAAGCCTTTATTTTCTCTAGAAAGGCGGAACTCATTGTGTTCGATATCTCAATGTGTGGTACCCTCATTTCCACCAAGTCCACTATACCGGGTGTACCACTAAGAAAGAACGCCGGCTGTATCTCGGAAACTATTTGCCGCACAGGTTTCGAAGAAAAAATATGAATGATGAAAGTGGCCAAGAGAAATCTCTGGAAATTATTCTCAAGTTATCAGGACAGGCCCTGGAGGGCGTAATTGCATTGGCCAACTTAAAAAACTGGTTTTTATTAAAATTTGATATATAAGACATATCAGAAACACTTTGTCCATGTTCTCGAGTAGATTTTTAATCATTTCGATCAAAAAAATTGCTCTAGCTCTTTAAATAAAAGAGGGAGGGAACGATGAATAGTACTTTGAAAAAACTCCCATTACTACAGTTCAACGATCTTGGTCTCATTATGAAGGGTTTGTTTGGTTCTTCCAGATGAATCATTAATCGGGTCGATTTGATTCCTGTGGTGGCCGCTAGATGGCATCGTTTGAAAAATCAGACAATTTTCCATTTTTTTCGAAAATTTCAAATAGAACCATATATTTATTTTTCCCTAATACGCAAGTAGAGCAATCAAGAAGAAAAATGGTGAAAACCGCGAATTGATGCCTTTTGAGGGACCGGTGAAATACTCGAAATAATATTATGAAAATATTCACCACAGGAATCTAACTTTAATGATCGTCATCAGAAATATCCTGTATATCTATGAAATTATGATTTCAATAATTCATTCATTTTGGTTCCACAAACTGCTGTTATATCTCACAATAGTGAAGGAGACTATTAGTAATGACAATGACATAGCTAATTGAAATGTAAGTAGTGAGTATAGGCTCAGGAATGAGAAAAGGCTAGTTGGCTTTGAATGAAAGAAACGTCAAAATATAATTGAAGTTCCATTGAAAGTTTTCACTGTGGATTGCCTATTTGTCAAAATGCCGATAACGAATGAGGAGGCATTTGACATGCTAACAGTTTAAATTTTATTATTATTATCCGAGTATTTCTCTGGTTCTTCAAGAGGTATCAACTCGTGGTTTTCACCATTTTTCTTCTCGTTCACTTTAATTTTATATCATTGCAGGAAAAATATATGGTTCCATTCGGAATTCTCGAAAAAAATGGCAAATCTGCTGATGTTTCAAAAGATGCCATCTAGCGGCCACCACGGGATTTAAATCGACTTGATTCGTGATTTATCGGGAAGATCTGAAAAAACTCATAATGAGACCAAGATCGCCTAATTCCGTTACACCAAACTGTAGTCATAAGAGTTTTTCCAGAGTACTATTCATCCTTTCCTCCCTCTTTTATTCAAAGAGCTAGCGCTTTTTTTTTTCTTATCGAAATGATTGGAAATCTACTCGAGAACATGGAAAAAGTGTTTCTGATATGTCTTGATATATCACATTTTCATAAAAACCCGTTTCATAAGTTGACCAATGCAATTATGGCCTCTAGCGGCTGTCCTGGAAACTTGAAAATAATTTCCAGAAATTTTTCTTGGCCACTTTCATCATGAATATTTTTTTTCGAAACCTGTGCGGCAAATAGTTTCCGAGATGCAGCCGGCGTCCTTTCTTAGTGGTACACCTGGTACATATATCGTCGGTATTTCCATCAGCAATACTCTTCCATGGAAAAATCATGTCAGATCCATCGCAAAAGCTGCTACACAAATGCTACTGTGATTTTCGGAGGAAAGGAGTGATCAAGTGTTTCAGACTTGTACTTGTAACTGTCATTTTTTGCGAGCTGTTATATCTTTTCTGTGACTGTAACCATGAACAAAGTGAAGGAGGGGTGCTTTACAAATAATATTTTTGTCAGAGATTCTGGTATCGTATGGAGGATTGAAAGACTTTGAGGTAATACTCGGCTCCCCATTTCTTTCAAAATATATTGTGAAATGGAGTAGCGAGAAAATTAGAATTGCTAAAATATTTTCTGTTACCCTGTCTCACCCTGTCGTGTATCATGGTTTTCCAACATTCTGTTTATTCTCGAAGTAACGCCTGCTGAGGGCTCAATAATTATATGTTTCCTTGGATGATAAAATGATTCAAACAAGGGAGCGTCCTTGTTCATAAAACTATGATGAATTTTTTCCTTCAAGAATCAATAAAGGAAGGATGATGGAATATGGTAAACATGTTGTTCAATTTAAATAGGGCATTGAGCCAACTGTTTACCCTTTATAGATAATATGCGAGAAAATCTACATAGGATAATGAAATATGGTTTTCATGACATTACCCAGAAAATTACTCAAAAACTATGCCAAACTCTACTATACGGCCAAAGCTAAGAAGTGAGTAGGACAGGTGAAAATGATACAAGAACTTCATATGCTCAGTTTTGATATGTCGTTTCCCAAGATTTTTTTATCTTTTGAAGCACACGCGAGGGAATCCTTATCATGTTTGTGGAACATTGTGTATGCCTAGGGAGGATAGGAAGAAGAGGTACTAGAGGTAGAGGTATAGTTATAGATTGTATTTTTCCTTCCTTAGGCGGAGCTTATTGTTGTATTGTAGTATTAGTATTGGTATTGTTGGTGATGGCATGATCCCTGAAGATCATTTCCAGTGACAGTATCTATAGACTTTCCGACTTTCCTACGGTGCACCGATGATGTCGAAGAGTTAGTGAGTGTGGCATAACCCACCAGGCAAGTGGCTCGTCTGTGGATGGAATCCAAGAGAATCAGTGTATGTTTGAATGCTGAAGCCTTTATGTGTGGAAAGATCACGTACATTTGACTATACAGGGTGTCCCAGAATCAACTGTTATAACTTTGAGAATCGATACTGGAAGTTATTTCTGGACTGCATTTTTTGATCCATGATTTTTAACGAAACAAACAAAAACATTTGTTGATACATACGAGAGTTGTAATTTTGAAGCCCTTCTGATAGTTTCATGACATTTAATTGGCCTAATTGATTCAAAAATATCTATGAAGTGTATTTAACAAATGTATGGTTGAACCGCGTCTATAATCTGTAGATTCGACATTTCGGAGCAAATCATCTGATCTGCCTTCACACTGGAAAAAATAGTCGGTAGGAAATACCAAACGTTTTGTAAAATAGGCGCCAGTCTCTACATTCATCTTATAATATCACTACAAAATTGTGAAATGCTATACTATATATCAAATATTACCACTACACAATAGTATGATACAATTTTGTTGTGGTATTTTTTGATGAATGTTGTAATTGGCGCCTATTTTACTGAACGTTTGGTATTAACTACCTACCAGTTCTCTGTGCAGAAAGAAAAATCGAATAATGCTTTATTTTTTCATTTATAGAATGAAAAATTCAAGAAATCTAGAGATAGTAGGTATCTAAGAATTTACTATACTCAGTATTTCACAATACGAAATGAAATGGATTGCTTGTTGCGAATTGAATAGTCATGTATTAACTCACCTAGTATATTTATCTTATTTTTTTCAGCTACTGTTTTTGCAGAAAACTGGGGACCAATGTACAGAAAACAAGAAGGCGTTACTTACGATTTCTTCCAGGTATTCGCGATATTCTTTCCCTCGGTGACTGGTATTCAAGCTGGTGCGAATATATCTGGAGATCTGAAGGTAATTTGGAGTTTTTTTTCCTCTCTTGAAGCGCACGAACGGAAATTCCTATAATGTTGGAAGAACATCATCCGTGTATTTAGGGTGGAAAAGAAAAAGATGTAGGTATTGGAACAATTTTTAAACTTTTGGAGGTTATAAGTTTCTGGAAATACTTCCATTGGCAAAGAATTACAAAGCTCTGCCTACGAATGGATGTGCTGACAAAAAACACACATGTTTCGCCAACCAGTAGCTTCGTCAGGTGATATACTCGAACAATGAACTAAACCAACCTTGGCTTGTTCAACTATTATATATTCTACTTTCCCAACTTGAAAGATTAGTTACATGTGGACAGTTTCGATAAAACTTCATTTTCGGAAATTAGGCACAATATCTACATTAGAATACGGTGTACCGGATTAACTTGAGAGGGTTGATAGCAAAATATTATTATCTACTAAGAAAATCAATTCAACAGTGGTGAACTATTGAGGTTTAATTGATCGTTAGGTGAAATGTCAAAATATTTGAGATTGTTGAAGATCTATGGTTGATTCCTAATGATTCAAAATGATTGAGTTGCATTCCTTCATTTTCTACGTGTATGAAATTTCGAAATTATCATCGAAACTATGGTTTTCTTCTAATATATGGTTGGCGTATGATGAATTCGTTTTCTTTTTCAGGAAATTCATCGTATGTTCATGAATGCGCTGACTTTTGTTAAAAAAATCACAGATTCCGAAAAAAATATGAAAAACAGTGTGTTCCATTGAAAAAATAATTTGTTGTTTGTCACGCTTCCAGGGATCACCCTGTAAAACTTTTGATAAGGGCTATGGAAAGGCCTCTTTACTGCATTCAACTTCCGCACATTGATTTTTTTCTCGAAAGAAAAATAGGGTGAATATATAGGGGTGGGCCTTCTTGATGGATAACCCTGTACACCAAAACTCAGAAATGTTGATTGGATAGTTTTGCATCAAAACTCAATTTTGGCCGACAAAAAAAAAGAATCAAAATATACTCATGGCGGCGAAAGTGTTAACTCGTTGTTGACTTTTGCAGGACCCAGCTTCGGCCATACCAAAGGGCACATTCCTCGCCCTAGTGATGTCGATGATATCGTACGCGATTTTCGTTATATTTGCCGGAGGCGCTGCTCTCAGAGATGCCAGTGGTTTCGTTTCAGATTTGGCGAATGGAACAGTGGCTGAATGTGCGCTTCGCCATAATTGCAGCTATGGACTCTTCAACAGCTACCAGGTAAGACGCTAACCTATATAAGCGTAGAAAGGTAACATTTGTTATTTTATTTCCACGCTTTTATTAGCTTGGTATGTTTTCTAAATGCTGCGACACAATTGAAGTTTTATGTTACTAGTGTCACGTTTTATAATCTAATATATGAGTATTATAAAATGAACACACAGGTCCTTGTAGCGAACGACATAACAAAAATATAGGAATTAGGCAATAAGTTTCATGTTGTAAAATACGTACGTGATGGTTTTTATGATTTAAAATTCAGAAACCCAACCAATCACAGCAATTCTTTTATACGGAAATATATTTCTGTCACATCATCGTGAATTTGAAGAAAAAGTCGTTGATTGAGGTGTTGTTGGAAGAGTATGAGAGCAATGGACATTTCCATGATTATAATAATTTAGATTATACTGACATAATAATCGAATAATCGTATTGTTGGAATTCCAGCTTGTAAATTTCAATATGGTTTTGCATCATGTTTTCTATTTTTATTACTTATATCTTGAATCTTGAACCTTAAACTTATTGCATAAAACTTCAATTGTGTCGCAGTCTTTTACTGTACTTCACGGTCATTCCAGTGTTCAATTCGCTCTAGTTTTGTGTCCTATGCCACTTGTCATAATATCGTGTCATTTACGACAGTGACTCATGCCATTTATTAATTTATTCCCGTTTTTCTAACCCTAAGTTGGATTTATCACGTTTTTGACTTTTGACCCCATCAATTTTAATAGATTCTTGGAATTTCAGTGCGCTTCCTCGTGATTACAGAACCCTTTGGTATTTTCCTGTTAGCAACCCAATATGGTTTCTATATGAGCACTCTTTGAGTGTTCGTCAAGTTTGCCTTCTGGGACTTGATATTTGGTTCTATAAGTGCTCGTTCCTAGGGTACGGGGCACTTAATATTTCATGAAAACTCGTTCATTCTCAACCCCTCTCTTCACCAATATTACCACGATATTAAGATCATAGACATCGGCATCCAATTTTAAATAATGTCTCACCTCTATGTAGGCCAACTTTTGGCTTTTCATAATATGTCTAATATGTCTAAAGACGTCTCCTTGATTGAGCTTTCCTTCTTCCTTTTATAAATTAGTATGCTTGTATAAACATAATCTTCGAACGTGATTCGGACCAACATCAAGATGTCGAATTGAATTGAAACATAGTAGATTTATCAAGGATCGATGAAAATTGCATAATTCATTCGTTTTATTACATTATCCTGATCAGGATCTCCCTGAAAGAGCGACTCTGTTTTTCTTAAATATAACGGTTCACGATGTTCAGCCATCAAAATTTGAAATGTTCCGTCACCAAAATTTGAAATTTTCTTTCCTTCGTATCACTTTCCACAATGTTTTTAAATCCAGACACACGGCAGTGTCTTACACCAAGTACTCGTATAAATACACTTCTCCAAGAAATTAATGCATCACCAAAAAGTAGCCAAGAGTTCAGGTAATATTTCCGTCAAAACTACTCGTTCGACTTGAAGGTTTTTTGTTTAGAATGACATTTTAATTTCTAATGAAAATTGGTGTGCAAACTGTATTCGCATAAAAAACCCTTTTCCACACATACCAGGTGTAGCAATTACAGCGTGTTTTTTTCATGATATTTGTAATACCATGTAGAGTGTAATAGTTACACCATTATCGTTCTAGATGACAACCTAGTTACGTAGTTAGTAGAGTTCATGCAAGTATACTTCTCCTATACATTTCAATTTTCATTTCAATACTGGACATATTGGTGAGTTTAATTTTTATATCATAATACATTCATATCATTGATCAAATTTAAGAGATTGATAATTCTCAAATTCAGAGGATTCATATTTTTCATGCTCTCCTTTTGGATGTTCAACAGATTTAATTCAGTATTCTACGTGGCAGTACCCAGAAAAGTAGTTGTTTTCTATCGAATATTCAGAATGATATTATATGCATATACATATTTTTATCTGGAGGATAATATAAATCCTCAACCTTCTTCGAAAATGTTCAATAATGATGTTAATGATCTATATATATATATATTAGAATTATGGGTTTATGCATTTGCAAACCACAACGAATTTTTGAATAATGGTAATATTCAGTCCTTCAATACAAGACAGAAAAAGGATTTTCGCATACCCTATTGCAAAAATATATTATCATATAACTCACCTACCTCAACAGCTCTTCGATTGTTCAATATATTGCCTATAGAACTGGAAAGTTGGGTGACCGTCAGAATATTCACAAAAATGTTGAAACTGTATTTAGTAGAGAAATCAATTCACTGCGTGCAGGAGTTTCATAATTCGTGATTAAAAAAGTTATATACAGGGTGTCCGGAGATAAAACCGACAAGACTTGTGGGGTTATAGGGACTGTCAATATGATTGCAAAATGCCATAAACCAATGTCCAAAACCGCTTCATTATTGACATACAGAGTGATTTGTGGATTTTGACAAAAAATTCAATCCGCCATATCGAATACAGGAATTTACCGATTAAATTCAAATTTGGTACACGAATTACACTGAAAAGCATCAACAAGTAGCCCTTTGATCGAAACTAATATCAGGACCGGAATGATATTTTTTCCCTATATTGAGTTATTGTGAGAATAACTCACCCTGTATAATAATAACAAAAAATTTCAACTCAGATTCATGACTTAGCACTTGCTATTGACCATGGCATGCAAGTGGATACCATTTACACTGATTTGACAAAGGCTTTTGATAAAGTGAATCATAAAACATTAGTAAATAAACTTAGAAAACTCTCTATACATGAGAATCTCATATCATTAGTCTGGTCATACCTGTCTGATAGATCCCAATTTGTTCAATTCAATAAAGAAAAATCAGAAGCATTCACTGCACCATCAGGTGTACCCCAAGGGTCCATACTAGGTCCATTACTATTTATTTTGTTTGTGAACGATATCGGTGAATATATAACATCAAAATACTTACTTTATGCTGATGACCTGAAGCTATACAGAGTAATCAGGGACGACAGTGACAGACTTTTACTTCAACAAGATCTCAATAGGATTGCCACTTTCTGTGAGCTGAACGACCTGTCATTAAATGAGAACAAATGTAAATATATATCATTCAGCCGTAAGAAAAATCCTATTGAGACAGAATACTGGGTGAATGAAACTAAATTGGAAAAAGTAGAAAACTTCAAGGATCTAGGAGTAGTTTTTGATAGAAAATTTAGCTTTAATACACATATTGCAAAAATTGTAAATGATAGCCTGAGAAATTTAAGTTTTGTTCTAAGGAATTCATACCAGTTTAACTCTAATATCGCAATACTTTTATACAATGCCTTCGTAAGACCAAAATTAGAATATGCTTCAGTCATCTGGAATCCACATACCGTTGTTCATTCAGAAATGATTGAGAAGGTACAAAAAAAGTTCATGAGGAGTCTTTATTACAGGAAATATCGAGTATCCACTTTAATGATTTCATACAAAACTCAACTATCAGAATTGAATCAAAACACACTACAGCTCCGGAGAAATATCGCGGATGTGCTATTTGTATCAGACATAGTTAATGATAAGCTTAATGTACCTGATTTACTCTTTGCAATAAAACTACATGTACCTGAAGTAAGATTACGTAAGCGAAATCATATTTTTTATATAGATGTGTCATCCTGCTCACCTTTTGTAAGATGCCAGAAATCTGTAAATGAGCATATTAACTGCTGGGATACTGACATTTTCATTTCTAGTAGTAGCAGAATAAAAGGCACTGTTGCTAATTATTAATTATTTTCTACTTAATTGTATATTTTCCACTTTTTATAATAATTAACGTGACCGTGTTAGTGGACTGTGTTGTGAATCTTTCTTTGTTTTTAATTTTTTTAGGTAATTTCGGAAGTAATTTCAAGTGTGTACTGTATGTGTACTGTATGTGATAAAACTGTTATTCTGTAATTGGGCTGAAGCCTGTTGTTTTAGCAGTATAAATAAATGAATGAATGAATGAATGAAAGATTCGACATCTACGGTAAAAATTGTATAGGAATTTGTTGAAAAATATCTTGGCACTATCTTAGTTATTCCGTTATTAATTATTATTTTAATTTTTTTCTCTCAAAATTCAATTATTGTCGGATGAAGTACTATCAAAATTGGTAATATAATAAATATAAACGAAACCATAACATGAGTATCGTTATTTTCTCCAATCAGTCCGTAAATCGTAGTAAAATAAAATACTCTCATTACCCGAAAAAACTGAAAAATAAATTCGTATCAGGACTGGAATGCGGTTTTCTATGCTTATATTCCTGTAAGAATTGATGATCTAGTATAACAATGATCTGATCGCAAATTCGAAATGCACTGAGAAAAGTTGAAAACTTGTTGAAAAATGATCGGATTGAACTTTCAAATAATAAATCCGTATCAGTACCTTATAATGTTTGTGTACTAGGCTTGTGTCAAATTCAGAATTTCATTATGGAAAACCATTGTTCAGCTATCATCAGCGTTTGTTTTATTGGTGTTCATTCATTATTCCAGTGTTTTCAGGATCAAACTATAGTTCTGAGAGTGTGCTTATGATGCCGTTTCATTTCACTTACGAGGAATACGCAGATATTCTATTTGTGTTTGGGCATTAACTATGGTGATGTTTACCTAGATTTCCTGGTCAATACTTGACCGGATCTATTGCAAGGTGTAAATACCTGAGGTATATGGTTTCAGCATGATGGTGCTAGACCTCTCTCTTCAGTTACACTCAGAAACCATCTCGATGCCAATTACCCCAATAGATGGATTGGCCGTGGAGGTTCAGTAAATTGGCCACCGCTATCCCCTGATCTAACTCAGCTAGATTATTTTTTATGAGGTCATTTAAAGTAAGAAGTTCATAATGAAGACATTTTTTATGGGAAATTACTGCTGCATGTGTTAGTGTTAGAAATAACCCTCAAATAATTCGCCAGTCAGTGAATCATCTAATATTACGGTCTCAAAAATGTATTGATGTTGGAGGGCTCCACTTCGAAAATGTTTTGTAATACTGGTTAGTGAAAGTTTTTCACGAATTCGTTGCTTTTGTTATGTTCATTACAAACAGTTATTGTAAGTTGTGTAGTATTCTCACAAATTCAAATTCATTAGTGAGCGAATATAATTCACGAAAACTTCACTGTTATCCTTCTTAAACAGGTCCTTATACGATTTTTTTAGATTCCGAATCTACGATCAGATAGTTGATAACTATTGATGTACTAGGTCAGCTAACATGACCAAACAAAACACTCATTCCAGTCCTGATACGCATTAATTCTTCAGTTTTTTCGGGTTATGAGAATATTTCATTTTACTCCGATTTATGAACTGATCGAAGAAAATAACGACATTCATGTCATGGTTTCGTAAATATACGTACTTTATCCGACAATGGTTGATTTTTCAATGAAAAAAATCAAAATGATAATTAATTACGGAATAACTAAGATGGTGCCAGGAGATTTTTCAACAAATTCCTATACAATTTTCACCGTAAATTGCGAATCTGAGTTGAAATTTTTGGTTATTATGATACAGGGTGAGTTATCCTAACAATAACTCAACATAGGGGAAAAATATTATTCCGGTCCTGATATTGGTTTCGATTGAAGGGCTACTTGTTGATGCTTTTCAGTGTAATTCGTGTACCAAATTTGAATCCAATCGGCTTATCCCTGTATTTTATATGGCGGATTGAATTTTTTGTCAAAATCCACAAATCACTCTGTATCTCAGTAACGAAGCCGTTATGGACATTTGTTTATGGCATTCTGCAATCATATTGACAGTCCCTATAACCCCATGAGTTTTGACGGTTTTATCTCCGGACACCCTGTATATAAATCAACGTTTTAAACTAGAGTTTATAATTTTGAAGTTTGATTTTAGTTTTTAGTTTCAGTTTTAGTGTTTGTATAGCCAGGAAAGTAGATGTTTTCCATTGGAGAATCCGAGAAAAAGAATTCATTATTATTATCATTAACTTCAGAAGACATTGTTTTCAAATTGTTGTTGTGTATGGTTGATAGATATAATTCAATATTCGTCGTGAAATATAGCCAGGAAAGTAGATGTTTTCTGTTGAAGAATCCGAGAAGAGAAGATTCTTATTATTATTATCATTATCAACTTCAGAAGACATTGTTTCCAAATTCTTATCGTGTATGGTTGATAGATATAATTCAATGTTCGTCGTGGAATATAGCCAGGAAAAAAGATGTTTTCTGCTGAAGACTCCGAGAAAGAATTGATATTCTCATCAGAAAGAGAATGTGAATTCTCAATATGTATTTTTTTATATAATTATATATCAATTCTTTCATATTTCAATGTAACAAATTTGAGTGAAATCGAGAGTTATAAAGCGGAAACGATTTGAAAATTGACACTACAGAGCCGTCTAGTGCCCGAACTGAGCCACTTTGTACTGAAGTAATTTTGCCTGTATCGAATTGTTGTCGTCTGCGGAATATGTGGTAGATTTTTCAGGGAAAACCTGTCTATCTGTTTAAGCGAAATCCCATCGCTACACAAAATAAAACAATAACTATAACTAGTTTAGTAAAGATCTATTGTGCCTCTTGGGTATCAAATCTCACCAGCGCCACCTGCGCCGAACTTTCAAGATCACCTATTCCGAATGCTTTTTTCCAGATGATGCAAATCATGTCGAGCTGGTGGCCACTGATCTACGCCGGATGCTTCGCAGCCACCCTCAGTACGGCCCTGACGAACCTTCTCTCAGTGCCGAGACTGATCCAAGCCCTGGGCATCGACAAGATCTATCCGGGGCTGATTTACTTTTCGAAGGGCTACGGAAAACACGGGGAGCCCTACAGGGGGTACGTGCTGACGTTCGTGGTATCTACGGCCTTCGTTCTCATAGGTAATCACTTCTTGAAGCATTGTTTCTGTCAAGATAATTCTTCACTCAAAAAGTTCTGATGGATTCTGGATCAGGATCACCTGACACATACCTGTGCAGATTTTTATCATCATAAAACAGATGGTGTCCGAAAAAATTAATATACAGTGTGTGCGATTACAACCCGCAACACCCTTTTAATTTGGAACCCGTTGGCCAATTTACAAAAACAAGAAGTCCATGATATAGTACTCAACGAGCTCTATTCGAGAATGTCAACAAATTTGAAATATTCATTTTCTCAAGGCCTACTTTTGCTTGTTGAAGGGATCAAAATTTCAAAATCGACTATTAGGCAATTTTTTGTCGAAACTGTGACTAGCCTATTCGATCCAGGCATAGCTGAAATACCCCCATACGAAATTTGAACGCAAAATCTCATATAGGGTGTTGGTTATTCAGTGACAAATTTGGATATTTTTGATTTTTTGATTCACCCTGTGTCAAAATGTAAGGAGTTTATATAGCCGGTGAAGTAGTCATTCAATGGAGAAACACATCGGATACTAACATAATGAAGTTTCATCATTGTGACTTCTACAGGAAGATCTCTCTTGGTCAACTAAAAATCAATGAAATTGAAGTTCACAAACTATTCATTAGTGTCCAATAATTTTTTTCCTGGCAATATAAATAATGATAACTTATTCGATGAGATATTCTCTATACATAACAATTTCTATTGTCATCTCAAACTTTCCTTCCATTCCGCCAAAATCGGTATATTATTATGATCACTTTAAGTATCAGTAATACTGGCTTTGCAATCCAATAGGATCACATCCAATCTGCTGTCCGAGTGCAGAAAAGCCTTGGAAAACCTGGCAAAATCAAGAAAAGTTAGTCTCATGTGGGTCCCGGAACATTCGGGAATACCCGGAAACGAGGAGGCAGACAGACTGGCAAAGATCGGTTCAGGACGGACCTCGGTCGGACCGGAACCAATCTCGGGAATACCAAATAGCCTGGCAATGTCCTCTATAGAGGAACAGCTGCAAAATCAATTCCTCAAAATATGTCAGGACGCACCAGGAATGAGACAATCGAAGCTCCACATAAAGGAACCTTCGAAGAGGCTCGCAAAAGAGGTTTTATTCCTAAACAGGCGAAACCTTAAAATGGTAGTGGGGCTCCTAACGGGGCACAACCACCTCAATAGGCACCTAGAGCTTATTGGGATCAAGGATGACCCCCTTTGCAGATGGTGCCTGGAAGATGACGAAACGTCATCACATGTCCTCACTGAGTGTCCAGCACTGACGCATCAGAGGAGGGCTGTCCTTGGCAACATAATTTTGAGGCCAGAGGACGTAAAAGAGATTCAGCTGAGGAAGCTGCTGAACTTCTCCAAGGCAGTCGGCATACCCAGCTGAATGTCGTAACATGTGGGCGCACAATGGGCTCGAAAAAGGAGGCCCACGTGCAGGGGGTTCACCCGCCCACCAGTGCTTCGAAGAAGAAGAAGAAGAAGAAGAAGAAGTATCAGTAAATCTCCTTGCAGTCTTAGGAGAGTGTTTGTCTGTCATTCTATTTGTGTTATATTCGCCAATTCTTTATCAATCGATAGAATCTCCAAAGTAACTATGTGATGACTGTGACGAAATGTGTGAAAAAAGGTTCACTCAAGTTTCCAAATTGGGTACCTAAACTTTATTTTTATTGATTTTTGGTTGACCTAGAGAGATATTCCTGTAGAAGTTACAACAATAAAACTTCGTCTCCAAGTATTCGATGTGTTCCCCCATTGAATAACTACTTCAGCAGTTATATCAATTTCTCAGATTTTGATACGGGGTGAATCGAAAAATCAAAAATATCAAAATTTGCCATCGAATAACTGACACCCTACCCAATCAGCACCAGACATCTTAAAGACGTACATTTTACGACTTACTTACGTCTTTACGTCCAGGGACGTATAAAGTACGTCTTTAAGATGTAAATCTATGTACATCTTGAAGACGTACACGAATTTACGTCTTTAAGACGTACATTTCAGGTCGTATCCACGTCGTTCCTCCCATGTCGTATGAAAGACGTCTTAAAGACGTACATTCCAGTACGTCAATTCGACTTATAGAACAATAATGTAAGTTATTTTCTGAAGAAAAACAAAATGTCATCTCTTCACGTTTTTTATTTTCAATTGTTCAATTTTTTCTTATTTTCAACAAAAGTAATGTTTTTGAATTTTTTCGTCCGACATTTTGGAGCCTTCGTGTTTGATTCTCGAATTTTCACAAAAAAATCATATTTTCCGACCCCAAAAGTCCCATAGTAATCAATTTTGAATAAAATCGGACTATAATCACGAAACTCGTCCGCCATTTTGAAGCCGACATCTTGGATTTATCATTTTCGACAAAAGTAATTATAATCTCTGATCCCGAAATCCTTCATATGCCAATTTTGAATCAGATCAGACCATAATCAGAAAGCCATATGCCACACTGGATTCGCCATCTTGAATATTGAATTTTGGTTCGAATCGGAACATAATCAATGAGAAAATCATCCGCCATATTGGATCCGCCATTCTGTTTTTTTCCATTCAATAATAATATCACAACGAATTGTCACCGGAATAATATTTACTTGCCAAATTTCAAATCAATCGGACGATTTAAAGTGAGTCAAATTTAACTTGCACGTTTTGATTACAAACAGACACAAGGACATGTTAAACTAAGTAGAAGCTTGTTATGTGAAATATAGAAGAAACAGAGTAACAGAAGAAGTGTGTATATGGTATAATATCATCGAAGTCAAGCAACAAAGAGCGCGGTTAGTACTTGAATGGGTGACCGCTTGTGTCTACCGTTTGATGAAGTCGTTTATTTCCCTTTTTTTGCTTGTCTGCACTTGTTGCTAACTTCAGTGCACAGGTGAAAATTAACTGAAACTATGTGATTTTTCCGTAATTTGAAAGATCAATTTGAGGTCATGGACCAAAAACACCTAAAAAAGACGTCTTGAAGACGTACATATTAGTGGAAAATGTACGTTTTAAAGACGTCTTGAAGACGTCTCTTGGGCGTAATATGTACGTCTTTAAGACGTACTTATGTCCCGACATGTACGTCTTAAAGACGCCTTTAAGACGTACTTTGGCTGATTGGGTATATGATATTTTGCGTTCTAATTTCGTAGGGGGGTATTTGAGCTATGCCTGAATCGAGTGGGCTAGTCACAGTTTCGGCAAAAAATTGCCTGATAGTCGTTTTTGAAATTTTGATCCCTTCAAGAAACAGAAGTAGGCCTTGAGAATCTGAATATTTCAGATTTGTTCACATTCTCGAATAGAGCTCGTTGAGTACTAGTACTTGAGTAGTTTGGGGCTTTTTTGTACTTCACTTGATCACTTTTTCAGCTCAACTCAATGCCATTGCTCCACTGATTTCCAATTTTTATCTGGCTTCTTACGCTCTCATCAACTTCTGCACATTCCATGCTGCCCTAATCAAACCACTTGGATGGCGACCAACATTCAAGGTATATATACATTAAACAGTATGATTTGAAATAAATAATGATGATTATGATAATAATGATGATAATAACATTTATTGATATACCAAGAAACATAAAATTTTTATAGAGGAAAACAATAACACAAAGATAATAAATGAATCAAATATGCAATTCAATGGAAGACAATCAGTTCAACCAGGATTAACTGAAACAAGGAGAGAGTTGAATTAAAAAAAAATGAATTTCTTCAGTTCTCACTTGAATTTTATGAGGAACCTAATAGATTTCATTCTGTTTGGTAGACTCTTATAAATATTTATTCCACAAAAATACATTGATTTTTTCCCGAATTGGACTTTCATTTTGACATATTCAAAAATATAGGGTTTGTCTGAATGATACCGAAAAACTAGTATTCAGATTCCTTACCTCATTTTAAGGAATAGGGTGTCAAAAGTACGAAACTGAAGTTCATATTTCTTTAGAACCACCTGTAGAAAAAAAAAAGAACTCGGTATACTGGTTGACACAGGGTATCAAGCCACCCCTGTTACTCCAGCAGTCGTGAACAGATCATTGCCAGCAACTTTGTTTTTTCAAATGGAACACCCTGTTCAACAGGTCGAAACAAGTGCAATCTTATTGTAAGATGTCATATTCTCGAGTTTTTGAATGAATCAATATAAACCTGAATTTGTCTTATAACTATTTCGGCAACCTGTATATCTCACAGAGGACGAATCGTAAGACATAGGTAGGTTGATAGGAATTTTACACCTCAAAATGAGGTGAGGAATCTGTATACGAGGTTTGTCGCTGTTATTCTGACCCTGAATATATGTATTCTCCATACGACAAATTTCATTATAGTATCATGAGCTAGTCACAATAGTTTGTCAAAAGCTAGAAAAAGTAGAGTTTGCTCAGCAGTTCATATTTTGAGTGCTCTATCTTCACACCAATTTTCATAATACGATTCGTTATGGATTTTCCTTCAGATTTAAAATACTTACGTATGAACCCTCCATATTTTCATATTATTCATAAAAAAATTCTCTATCCTTACTGCCCCATCCTCACTGTTGCTAGGGTAAGAAGAATATTGGAAAATAAGTTGTGTTTGCTCAGTGAAAAATTTTCGTAACGACATCCGTTTTCAAGTTACAAGGTGATGAAAAACCCATTTTTTCTGCAATCGACACAAAAGTCGTCCATTTTGATAGCAAAATTAGCTCTTACATTGACGTTTCTATTACTGACACAAACAAAGGTTGGCAACACTATTACTTCTAAGAGCTGAAGTTGAACTTAAGCCCCTAGAAACTGAAGAGGGTGTACTGGTACAATTCACTTCCGAATGTCCCGAACCAAAAATAAGTATCCTTGGGACGTCCCCTCCCGTACATCTCATGCAATGTCCGAGCAAGAACGTCCAAGGAATGTCCCAGCTGATACATCATTTCAAATGTCCTAGAAATAGCATCCCTTAGACGTCCCACCTGGTACATATTGTAGAATGTCCATGCAAGATGTCCTTGGCATTTCCCTGATGGGATATGATTTTAAACGTTCCTTTAGGGACATCCATCGGATGTCCCGAGTAATACATATTCTGGCATGACTTCAGATCTTATATAATGTCTCTTCTAGACAACCATGCAATGTCCCTGATGGTACATTCCTTCAAATATCTCTGCACAGGCGCTCTTAATATTTTCAGGATCGAATAACAATCGAAATGTCCCTTAGGGATATCCGTCGGATGAACCAATTGGTACATGAACTGTACTCTTCCAATGTTCTAGAAATAACGTCTTATGGACGTCCCAGTCGGTTCTTTCAATATATATTCATATGATTTCCCTGCGAGAACGTTAACTTACACCTCGCCGACGAATGATTGCTCGTAGGCTATAAGTACTATTCGTCAATGTCCTATACGTAAGTCCATTGGACATCCTTGGGAAACTTTTTGGGGGCCTTCTACGGACCATCAACTCAACTGGATGTCCTAATCAGTTATGCAAGATCTGGTCCTAGAGGGACCCAGAAAAATTCAAATCCAAGAATAATTCGTACGTTCCTGAGACATCCTATGGACATCTAATTAATATCCCTCAGCGTTGCTGATATGTTGTCCTATGGGTTTAGGTATTCGATAGTTGTCCCAGAAAAATCCCTCTAGGACGTCCCTAGTTGGTCCTCAAGTGGGACATTTGTGCGTCCCACAGACGTCCAATGGACGTCCACGGTACCAAATTCGAACGTCCTATGAACGTCCTGAATGTCCCGACAGGACGTCCTAAGGATATCCATGGGACATAAGTGTGTTATTAGGGAACTTGTTTTTGAGTAATCACCAGCCAGCAATACTTTTTTGTCTCACACAACGACATTGTTTATCTTTATTTGATTACCGAGTCAAATACAGTGGAATATGAAGAGAAATGGATGATTGGGATCATCATTGTTGAAATGCTCACTAACCTTCCACTGGCGCGAGATACGTTGCCATATTCCTGTTATTCACCTCAAGAACACACGAGTTTGACTCCCATCAGCGGATTCAGCAGTTTCGTATTTCATTTCTATGAATTGTATCACACCATTATTATCTCACGAATTACTTGTACATTTCAATTAATAAAGTCAGTTCTCTCTTGTACCTTGAAGGAAAAACATTGCTTTTTGAAAACGTTCCTCGATTTTCTAACTTCCTAATTCGCGGTATTTCCTATTAGGGCAGACACCTGGTCCAAATGAAACAATCGATTAATCGATTCAATTGAATACACGGATGAGTCACTCTGTGGTTGTATTTATATTGAAACTACAATTCGATCATTCTTGAAAATTGAATAAACCTGATCTGTAAATGCAGGTAGAATATTCTCACCACACGAATCATTTGCTGCATTTCATGTGTATGGCACGGCATCCACGTTTCGGGTATAGTTTGAATTCTTCGTGCCTGTAGTATTTGATGATGCATGTCACATCTTGTGACAAAATAAAGTCATCGTCCACCAATACTCTAATGTAAAGTAGTCTGAGATCTGCTTGCTTCTATCTATCCTATATTATTGTGATAGAGGTGTTATAATAATCTGTCATATTGGTGGTTACTTCACTTATATTCATTTTAGTTAATTCTTCCGTTTGCAGAACAAATAGCATGTTTAATTCGGATCAAAAGTGACTTTATTTGACTCGCATATTTTGCTTCCGCTTGGCTTCGCTAGACTTTCTGCCTCGCAATCTACTATTTATATTCATTTTTTATGATTATGTCGAAACATTGTGATGAAACTTTGTATGAATAGTTTTTGAAAGATGCCGCATCGCATTAATTTGTTCTGACTCGAATTGAGGGCGTTAGTTACACGGTACATACCAAGTAATTTTGAATAACATTTCCTTGAGAATAGACTTTCTTGTCCAATTGTTATTTGAACTTGAACATCGTCCAGCAATTTTACACTAAATAGGTACTATGAAAAACCCTGATAAGTACCTACTATAAACTGTTTTCGGAATATTCTGATTGGAAAATGATGGAGTTGAATGATGTTGCTAGTATGAAACTATGTACAAGAAAAACTATTATAAAAAACTATTGTCTTTTTGGTGAAAACCAAACACAACATATTTCTAATGCTGAACCTATTGATTGAAAAATGAATCACAAGAATGACATTGAAATAAATTCGATTAATAACATGGATTGATAAACAGTTTGGTTCACAAGAGCTACGCAATTCTTTTACTGAGCAAACCCATTTTATTTAGCACTGTTTTCACCAACCCTAGCAAGGCTGCGACCTTTTCTTGAAACACCCTGTATATTGAACAAAAATACCAACCAGATATATTTTTCCTTTCAGTATTACAACACCTGGCTCAGCCTTTTTGGCTCCATAACCTGCGTTGTGATAATGTTCCTGATAAACTGGTGGTCATCGTTGATTACGTTCATTATAATATGGGGGTTGTATCTCCTAGTGGTATACAGGAAACCAGGTATTATTACAAAACTTTTTCATGTATCCTCAAGTGCCTAAGAGTTAAGGATATCGGATGAAACAGGAGACTTGTAGCAGTTGTTGTCCCTGCAAGGTTCTCACAAAAACTTAACACATATTCCTCAGTTCGATTCGAAACAATTCACTTCGGCACAAGATTTCTCAGTCTGAGATCTAGACCACTCTGATATTACAGTTGTTGAATAGTTTTTCCTTTATGGCTTTGAAACGGCTCATGAGATCTCACTCAAACTCAGTACATCAAGAGGCATGTTCGTTTGTGTTTGCTCTACCTGCTGAACTTGATTTTTTTCTATGACTTTCTCTGTTCACTTCATGCCATGAACAGAGACAACTTCAACTTTAGCAAGTTTTGCAACACAAACGAACAGACTATAATGGCTTCATGGATCAATAAAACACATATCATGATCATGATGAATATCACATTATAGGAAGGACCAAAAGTCCGTTGGATCAATGAAAATGGCACTTTTTTACCGCGTACAAGTGGAAGTGTCGTCCGCCACTCTTACATTTTCACTAGAGTTCCTAAATGTACGTGTGACACTGCTGTTTTGACGTTTTTTGTATATCAGAGTACGGACACTATAGACAAGCAGTGACAATCAAACATAACCACAAACGATTTTGAAGCAAATCATTTGTTTTGCCAGACGAGGACAAGAATATATTTTTCGCTTAGATAAAGGATCCTCGCATCTTCCTTCCTTCACAACTCCAGGGAAGAGTACATCCATATTCCTCTCTCTGTCTTTGATTTTTGTATGAGGGTGCAAAGCGTCTCCTTGAGTGGGTAAAAAGGTACGATAAAATATTGAATGATAAGGCTGAAGGACCTCAATGTGGAGGTCGATATCAAGTTGGTGTGTACATATTATAAACCAACGGAATACATATACTATATGTACGTATATATATATATTTATATATACGTTCAGTTGAATATTTTTTCATCACGAAAGTTCCGAATGGGGTGAAAACTTTTCGTATGGATCAATTTCACTTGTAGAAGAGTGGTAGGTTATAACTAATTAATAAATGAACAAATGATATGGCAACAATAACAGCTGATTTCAGTTAGGATAAATAAAAAAGGTTCTCCAAGTCATACGGAAGTAGGTATAAATGGACTTCAGCGCTCGACTCGCTATAGATCGCCGTTCACATTGCTAAAGGGGATTGTTGGTTTGAACCCGGCCATAGAAAGATCATTCTCAATACCTAACATACATGGTGCACTCGTTAAGCGTTCTTGTTCTGTGATCTGATAATATCTTGCTCGTATCTTGGTACCCAAGAAGTGGTTCAAAATCCACTAGGAGCTATATAGTCGTCTATAGCACTTCTCAACTACGCATGAACATGCACATTCAGACTTGGGATTTCAACTTTGAAGAAACGATACACGAACAATACATTTAACTCTTTGATATAGATACATCAATATCTTGTACATCAGAGTTTCACAAAGTGACTATATGTTTACACAAAATTATTATAAGAGTTCGTATACGAAGATGATCTGAAGAATTCTTGGTTGAACAGGGATGTGAAATCTGTTTGAGTTAGTCAATTCAGGAAGTTGCTGCTGTTTCATCATCAAATGAACAGGGATGTGAAATCTGTTTGAGTCAGTCAATTCAGGAAGTTGCTGCTGTTTCATCATCAAATGATCGACCATGATGTCCATGGTGGCTATTATTGTGATCTCTGTTCCATAATTCCATCACAAGCTATAAACAGAGTAGGTAAATACCCTGATATACAGAAAACGTCAAAAACGCAGTGTCGAGTACATTCAGGAACTCTAACTTTCACTATTGAAAAACTATAATTTTCTTCATACAAGAAAACTCCACACTCTCAGGGAAAATCTTGATTTCTTGAAATAACGAGAGCAAGATCTTTCAAACAGAACTCATGGAATGTATTGAAATGAGACATATTTCTTCAAAACAATACAAATATTAATTCAGTGTCAAGGTATCACTGTTGAATCAGAGTAAGAATTATGATTTTTTGTCTACAGAGATATATACTCTCTCTAGAAGATTGTCGAGTGTCTTGTTAAGAACCAATTGAGATCTCTCAAATAATATAAAATACTTGCATTGAAACAAGATATTTCCACCTAGATCAAGTCGTTCATATTATAAGTAGAACATATCTCATTTCTCAATTCGAAGTGGAAGTCTGTTTTGAAATGAAAATCACCGATCTTGTTTGAAAGTCTTCTGATTTTAGACAAGTTATTCGAGTGTTTTCTTGGAGTAAATGGTCAGGAAAATACTTTTCTCGATGTAAGAGATAAGGTCTCTTCAATTGAATAAGGAGTTTTTGACTTGAAGAAGTAAATTTCACCAAAGTTGATATCAAATGCAAAAGGTCGATATCAGTCTGTTTACTTTGAATTTCTATTTCCAAAGCATATTCCTACTACAAAGTCGATTATTACATCAGACCTTTGATACCTTTGGAATATATGTACCTATGGAAATAAAAATGAGACTAACTACGAGAAGGTTGTTGTGCTGAAATTGTAATAACCCTTCAATTCATTTCAGATGTTAACTGGGGATCTTCCACTCAAGCCCAAACCTACAAAACAGCTTTGACGACCGCCCAAAGACTGAACAATATCGGCGAGCACGTCAAAACCTACAAGCCTCAGGTTCTGGTGCTGTGCGGCAAGCCCCAGGAACGGCCCCCTTTGGTCGATTTCGCGAACCTGATAACCAAGAACCATTCTCTGTTGGTCATCGGTGATATCGAGGATGTAAGTTGATTTATACAGGGAGTAGTAAGGGGTAGGTCTACAAAAATTGAAACAAGTGGAACTGTGGATCAGTTCAAAGTATAGTCCAACGTCCATGGAACGGTGGAGATTATGTACCTACAGGGTGAGGAAAACTCGAAGTCTCTGCTCCATTATACCCCTAATAGCACACAACGTCCTAAGGACGTCCCTATTTGGCACAATTCAAGTCCGAAAATCCAGGACCAAAAATAAGTGTCCTTGGGACGTCCCATCCCGTACATCTCATGCAATGTGCGAGTAAGGACGTCCACGGAATGTCCCAGCAGGAACATCATTTCAAATGTTCTAGAAATAGCATCCTTTAGACGTCTCACGTGGTACATATTGTAAATTGTCCATGCAAGGACGCCCTTGACGTGTCCCTGATATGATTTTGAACGTTTCTTTAGGGACATCCAAAGGGTGTCCCGAGTAGTATATATTCTGGCATGACTTTTGATCTTATATAATGTCCCTTCTAGACAACCATGAAATGTCCCTGATGGTACAGTTCTTCAAATATCTCTGCACAGACGCCCTTAATATTTCCAGGATCGTATACCAATCGAAATGTCCCTTAAGAAAATCCTTCGAATGTCCCTTGGGGATATCCGTCGGATGTTCTGATTGGTACATGAACTGTACTCATCCAATGTCCTAGAAATAACGTCTTACAGACGTCCAGGTCGGTATTTTCAATATTTTGTCCCCTGCGAGGCAATAATACTTCCCGTAACCCAAAAACCCAGAAAAATTCGAATTCAAGAATAATTCGTACGTCCCTGGAACATCCTATGGACATCCGATTGATATCCCTCAGCGTTGCTGATCGATTGTCCTACGGATGTCCTCAGGATGTCCTTCGTAGTGCTTGATGAGGAATACTGTAGGATTCAGGTATTCCCTAGTTGATCCCCAAGTGGGACATTTGGGCGTGGGACATAATCGTGTTATTAGGGACAGGTTATGTCACGACGAGCTAGCACTTTCTTCATTTCGAGAATCAGTCGTATGAAATTCGAGATTAACACTCTCTTCGTTTAAAATATTTTCGACAATGCAGTGTTACCGCTTCTACTAGAAAGTAACAACAACTTTGTTATTTCAAATGAAATACCCTGTATTTCATTGCATTTTTGGATTTCCCCTGAAATGGAATGATTACAGAGATATGGGGTGTTCAACATTATGATTTTTTTATGTAGATGCTATCAATTATTGGTCAAAAAGGCTAACATATTCCTAACTCAACTTTTGATTAATAATCTACTGATTTTTGATTGGAACAAAAACAGGGTGGTTCAAAAGTCCTAAAGTAATGAAATCTTGATTTTGAACACCCTATATCACTGTGATCATTTCCGCTAGATCCCAAGTGTTATATATCAAAAATATTTCATACGAAGAGAGCTCAATCTTGAACATCAGCATGCACATTTTCATAAATCTCTTATGACTTATTCTCAATATGAATAAAGTATAAGCTCGTCGTGACATACCGCCCTGTATAAGAAGAACAACTTTCAAGGTGTTTTATTGACATCCTTAATTCGAGCATTAACCTCAATCACCAAATAAACTGGAGAAGTATGATAGTTATAATATTATAACGATAGAATGTAGTCAATTTTCGAATAACCTGCTTGGGAAAAGTTCTACATCCATCTGAATACCAGATTGAGGACTACAGTCGTCAAAGTATACAAAGATTCTGCATGATTTTCACTTATACACTTCCCTATTTCTCTTAGATACTGCAGAGGCCATCTGGTTAGTAATATCGATGTCCACACATGTAATCCCAGCCAGCAGGGTGACGTCAATTCTCGTCGAATCGACGTGAAGAATAGGTGGCAATTGGTCGTCGTCAAGATTCGACCAATAAATGACGTGATTTTGACATGTTCCAAAAACGTATCTGATAGACGTCATTTTACGTCATTTAGACGTAAAATCTGCACCAATCATGTTGTTTCATTTCGGAGAAATTATTTCATGAACTGCATATCCTGGACTCATGATTAAACGCTTATCGAAATAAAATAGGTACCTACCTTAGTAAAGGATTCACGTATACCCGACATGGATAAACCTAAGTGGTGAAATATGTAGAACAAATATCAATAAAAAACACCCTGATAGAGACTCGGAAACAGATACGAAAGATTCAAGAATTTATCAAATGTATACAAATATGGTTATACCAGGTGCCTATACATCTTTTATATTAGCGCGCCACGTCAAGACATACAGATGCTTATGATCGGCCATCGACGTAGCACAGTTTGTCGTAATCAGGCGCATGCGTGATCAAGTACATCGAATGTTGTAATGGCGGATTCGTGATTTTGGGTCATGGAAAACAAGGATACTATGGAAAAGTGGGGTTCAGCAAAATATATTGCAGTTCGCTGGTTATTTTATCAATTCCAGGCAGTATAAATGTTTGTGGGAATACAATATTCCGAGGAAAGGCATTGCTCTCGTTCAGTAGAAGTGGGTGACCCCATGACGCCTCGTAAGGCTGCGAAGTGTAGTGGCCGCCTATCAAACAGCAAGACTTTTTCAACAGGTCAATAATCAAGAAAGCGAAAAAGAATAATTTGAGGTTATTAGGTTGAGATTCCTTTGAAACTTGACATCTTGGTTGATGTCTATATATACTATACAATATAGTGAATTTTATATGCTTATTAGTTTCATTCAGATGAAGAATACCTATAATTATGTGAACAAATAAAAAATTTACACAACAATTGTAACTAGATCATTCGAACTGTTTTGCCAATCATCAAGGAATGGGATCATGGAAAAGTGATTTCGAGTTTCACAGTTTCTTGGTGATGTCGAAACCTGGTTCTGATGCTTGGTATCTATTCGACGTGTAGACGACGTCGCTAAATGACGTTGTAACGACGTCGCTAAATGACGTCGTTTCGATGTGACATATTGACGTCACATTTACGTCTCTTTCACGTCGATAGTTTGGTGATCTTGACGTAATTGGTGACGTGTATATGACGTGAAATTGACCTGTGAATGCTAGCTGGGATACCATAAGGCGAAATATGTAATTCATTATGATCACTTGAAACAAGCTCTAGCTAATGGCATGAACCTCACCAAAATCTTTTCAGTACATGAAGGAAATTGATATTTATGATACATACAGAGTGGCCCATTTGAAAGGAAACCACCCTGTTGAAAGCAACTTCATGTCCAGTACACAGCTTCGCGAATGAAAGTATTCTCCATACCGCCTCCTCTTCCAGGGTTCCAATTTCAGCCAGGCAAATCAGAAACGAACGAGGGAGGAATGTTGACAACATAAATATGGACTTGGCAACAATAATTCTGGAATGGGGATCCAATAACTTGGTAGATTTCAATGCAAACAAAACACAAGCATGCCTTTTCTCTAGAAAAGCTGATCTCACTGTGCCCAACATGAGCTTGTCAGGAGTGAGCATACGCTTGAAGACATCCATTTCGATGCTTGGTATTACTTTCAGCAATAACCATTCTTGGTAAAATCATGTGAGATCAATTGCTGAAAGTGCATCCCAAAAACATGATTTTCAATTTCTTGCCAGGAGCTATTTCACTTCCAGTCAGCTGCTTATGATCTATAAGGCACAGATCCAACCTGTCCTGGAATACTGTTTCCATATTTGGAGTGCAACACCCAAACATACCCTGAAACTGTTGGATTCTGTGCAAAATAGGGCAATTCTTCTCGTGGGTGATGTCTCACTCACTCACTTCTCTGGAACACCGCAGAACAGTTGGCGATCTGGCTCTATTTTATAGATATTTCGATGGACGATGCTCTTCTGAAATATCAACAAGTGTTCCTCCCTTGGCAGTCCCCGAAAGATTAACCCGTCGAGTTGAGGCTTCGCACCCCTTCGTGGTCACTTTGGAGACCTGCAGAATATCTCTTTTCAAAGACTCGTTCATCCAACGAACAGCGAGGCTCTGGAACACATTTCCAAGGGAGGTCGTGTTCCCCGAGGCATATTACCTCCAGAAATTCAAGAATAAGAACACCAAATCCTGCCTCATTTCCCTTGGTTCTCACTATGTTCTCTGACCATTACAGGATAACCCTCTTCGTGAGAACCAGAACAAAAGAATATATTTAATCTTCAATTATGAAACGATTTCAACGATTTTCTCTTTGAAATGTGGAGAAGGATGATGTGTATCTTGAAGCTGAGCAGCGGTCACTTTTTTCAAAAACCATTGCCAACTGGATCATATTCAGAGGCTGAAAAATCCAGATCTCATAGCTATTAGCGAAAAATATTCAACATCAACAAAACTTTGACTGAATCACTGACAAGTTGTTCATTATGCATGAAGAAGCTTTTTATGTATTGATATTCCTAATACTAGGCTCTGCAATAACAGATAACTGCGCAGATGAATGTAAAAATATCGAATATAGAAGTAGATTTTTGAACCTGAAACACTGGAATTTATCGATTACTACTTAACATCCTTTTTTTGTTCGTTTTAGAAACCGCTCACTCACAGGGATAGACTAACCAATACGAGAAAAGTATACGATTACCTGAGAAGCAACAAAATCAAAGCTTTCTACACCATCATCGATAATGTGTCTTTCGAATTGGGTGCCAAAGCTCTCCTGCAAACGACTGGTATCGGAAAACTGAGTCCGAACGTGCTGATGATGGGATACAAGACAGACTGGATGACTTGCGACAAGGAGGAACTTCTAGCGTACTTCAATGTCTTGCAGTAGGTATAACCATGATATATCCAAAACCCTCACTGATTACCATTTTTTAAGTGGATACTGATTGTGCTACAACCACATATGAAAGCACTGTTTTTGCTCAGAAAGTATATCACATCACCATAGCAATGCATATAAGTAAAAACGAACAGTGTAGAATCATCATCGCACGTTCACGTGGTCTTTGTTTGGTCTGTCCCAGGCAACCAGATAACGAATGATCACGTTATTATGACGTCCCTTACTGGTGATTTTTCTTCAGAGACGTCAAAAACCAATTCATGGCATCACTATGACGTACTTTCTATAACGAAATAATCGCGTCATCATCTCGACGTCGAGTGGACGTCACTTGGGAGGATAAAATTGTAAATTTCAGCACCCTGTAAAGGATCATATCGCAAAATAACTGGATTGGTGTACGTGAGACCTTGCTACTACTGTATGCCAAAAATATTTTCGTAATTTGACTAAATGAAAATACCATGCCCAAATCAACATGACTCTTCAATTGTGGTAAAAATGGGTTCATCAATTATAACTTTGCAACGCCGCAACCAAATTCAATTTTTTTACAGCGATGTGAAGGTGAGCCTTGGTGGAACAAATTCCGAATAAATAATACTGAGTGTTTCATTCGAAAAAAAATTGTCTCCGAGTCGCCGCGCTTTCATAAAACACCCAGTTATGTAGAGAATATTTTTGAAATAAGCAACTTGAGTAACTGAAAAACTTTTTAGTTCAGAGTTTTATTCTATAGATTATGGCTTCCGAGATATCGAAGAATTACGCACTAAATGGACACCCTGTATGATGAAGAAAAGTGAATTATAGTAGTAATATTGAAATATTATAAGATAAAAATGTACTACTTCATAAACCGCAGATAATTCGAGAATCTTCAATTAACACGATTATATTAGCTTGGTATGTATGTTGAAGTATGTTTGTATGTTTGTATTGCGGAATCTTTGATCGTGAATGTGACCATCTTCAAAACGTCGAATTGAATCGAAACTTTGGACACTTATCATGAACCATTAACAGTAGCATGATATACTTAGTTTTGTTTCATCATCCTGATCGAGATCTTCAGGATGGGCGATTTTTTTCCTCAAATAAAATGGTCAATGAAATTCCGCCACCAAAAATTAGAATTGATCCTTCACCAAATATTGAAATGTTCGTTTTTATCCCTTCTAATAGCTTCACAATGTTTCTTTTATTTCCAAAGGTACAGATTCTCCCTGAAGGTACTATTTGAAATACCAAAGTTTTTGCTACTTTTTGATAGAAGCGGCAACACTGCATTGCTGAAAATATTTCAAATGAAGAGAGCGTATTTTAAAATATAAGTTGCATATTTTCATGGATTTTTCCCGACTGATTCTCGATATATAGAGTGTGAGCTCGTCGTGACATACCCTGTATGTGTATTTATCAACAAACTTTCATTATTTTTTCTACTCACATAACTAAAATGGCATTTAGCGTACGGATATGTACCACGCTAAATGATCGATTAGTCACGGATTATCGATCTGTGATTTATTCAAAATATTGAACACGTTACCATGGCAACACGATTTCCACATTACCATGGCAACGCAGTTCATTAAACATCGCTTCAGTAAATACTGTCTGTAGGTTAATCGAGGAGGTGGTATATTCATTATTACAAATTTTTTGGGATTTTCTCTCCTCGTTTCTATAAAATAAAAATATGAATATTATTTCAATATACGTGTAGTAAGGACAAATCAGATGATTTGCCCCAAAATGTCACTGCGTTTAAAGAATTTTCCTATCAGAGAGCCTAAAAGAAAAATTCACTAGCTTGTCAGTGACAATTTGTATTGAAAAAATTTTTGGAGAAGGGAAATAAAGGTATATAGAAAAAATATCAAATTTTCACTTATCTTTGGACGTTTCGGGACCGGTTCTGCTCCCGTTTTCAACATAAGAAGAGATTATTTCGATAGCGAAGTCGTATAATGTCTTGAAGCTTTTCAGTTTTCAATGACAATTGGTGACGTTGGCAATCAAATGAGTTACAGGATGTTTTCATTAATTGATCTTGAATTTACCATTTTCATGTTCAGATTTTAGTAGTGAATACCATGTTCTGTCTATATCAACTGAACAAGAAGCAATGTTATTGTCTCCGTTCAGAAGAATGCAAGCAGATTCCTTGATTTTTCTCTTCTGGTTGTTATCTTCTTTTCCAATAATTTTAATATTATTCCACTCTGCCATATGTTGTCCGTCTTCAGTAAGGATATGTTCAGCTAGTTTCGATTTATCGATGTTTCTTTTCTTTATATTGTACTTATGTTCCTTCGTCCTTACTGAAAGAGGTCTCTTGGTTTCACCTGTATAAAACTTTCCACAAACACAAGGTATACTGTAAATACAATTTTTTGATGATTGTTCTTCATTTTTCGGCTTTGTTTGAGTTAGAATTGATCTCATTGTATTTTCAGTTTTGAAAACAGTTTTCACTTGAAATTTATCACCAACACGTTTTATTTTTTCAGATGTGCCGGGAATGTATGGTATTATATTTGTCGTTATTGATGGTTGATTTTGTTGTGGTTGACCCTGTTTGTTTTCAATTCGATGAATCGTCCTATCGACAAAATTCTTTGGATAAGAATTGAGTTGGAGAACATTTTTAATGTGGTGGACTTCGTTATTGAAAATTTGTTGGTCAGATGATATTGATTTGGCTCTATCATGGAGTGATTTGATTATTCCTTTCTTAATACTTTTCTGATGATTTGATTGAAAGTTCAAGTATCTGTTAGTATGGGTCTTTTTACGATAAACACTCGTTACAAAGATGTTATTTGATTTTTCAATAAGAACATCTAGAAACGGTAATTGATTATTAGATTCAATTTCCAAAGTGAACTTTATTGTAGGTTCGGCATTGTTCACATAATCCAGAAAATTATCTAGCTCCATAATATTGTGAGGCCAAATTATGAAAATATCATCTACGTATCGCCACCATGTTTTAGGTTGTTTTTGGTAATTTTTGATGATGTTGTCTTCAAAATTCTCCATAAATATATTGCTTAAAATTGGAGATAATGGTGATCCCATGGCCATTCCAAAGTTTTGTTGATAAAACTCATCACCCAATTGAAAATATGTTGTTTTTAGACACAATTCCAAAAATTCCATTATTCCTTCGATACTTAAATTAGTTCTTTCAGTGAGACTTTCATCGTCTTCTAATTTATGTTTCACTATTTGTAAAGTTTCATCTATTGGAACATTTGTGAATAAACTTACTACATCAAAACTAACAAGAGTATCATTTGTATCAAGAGTGATGTCATTAAGTTTTTCTAAGAAATGAGGAGTATTTCTGATGTAATTCTCACTTTTTCCTGAAATAGGATTGATGATATTCAAGAGAAATCTTGCTAAATTTTGACATGGAGATCCAATTGAACTCACGATTGGTCTCAATGGAACATTTGGTTTGTGTATTTTTGGAAGTCCGTAAAAATGAGGAGGTTTGCTGTGATATGTGGAGATATTCTTTCTTTCCGCGAGTGTCAATTGATTTTCGTGTTTCTTAATAGTGTTACGTATCTTTCTTTCGATATTTGCTGTAGGATCTTTATTCAATTTCGTGTAATTACCATCATTTATAAGTTGTTCAATTTTAGTATTATATTCAATTTTGTCCATGATGACTGTAGCATTTCCTTTATCAGCTGGAAGTATTTTGATTGTATTATCGTGTGTATTATCGTATTTTAGGTGATTGACTGTTTTTCTATTCTAGTTATGTTTTGTGTGATTTTGTGTTCTTTTTCAATTATAATTTTATTTCTAATTCTATACTCATTAGAAAATTCATCAGGAAGTCTTTGCGCAGTTTGTTCGATTGCTGTAATAAATTCTAATCTTGGAAAATTATTTGGAGTTATTGAAAATACAATGAGATCAATTCTAACTCAAACAAAGCCGAAAAATGAAGAACAATCATCAAAAAATTGTATTTACAGTATACCTTGTGTTTGTGGAAAGTTTTATACAGGTGAAACCAAGAGACCTCTTTCAGTAAGGACGAAGGAACATAAGTACAATATAAAGAAAAGAAACATCGATAAATCGAAACTAGCTGAACATATCCTTACTGAAGACGGACAACATATGGCAGAGTGGAATAATATTAAAATTATTGGAAAAGAAGATAACAACCAGAAGAGAAAAATCAAGGAATCTGCTTGCATTCTTCTGAACGGAGACAATAACATTGCTTCTTGTTCAGTTGATATAGACAGAACATGGTATTCACTACTAAAATCTGAACATGAAAATGGTAAATTCAAGATCAATTAATGAAAACATCCTGTAACTCATTTGATTGCCAACGTCACCAATTGTCATTGAAAACTGAAAAGCTTCAAGACATTATACGACTTCGCTATCGAAATAATCTCTTCTTATGTTGAAAACGGGAGCAGAACCGGTCCCGAAACGTCCAAAGATAAGTGAAAATTTGATATTTTTTCTATATACCTTTATTTCCCTTCTCCAAAAATTTTTTCAATACAAATTGTCACTGACAAGCTAGTGAATTTTTCTTTTAGGCTCTCTGATAGGAAAATTCTTTAAACGCAGTGACATTTTGGGGCAAATCATCTGATTTGTCCTTACTACACGTATATTGAAATAATATTCATATTTTTATTTTATAGAAACGAGGAGAGAAAATCCCAAAAAATTTGGAATAATGAATCGCTTCAGTAATTTGAGACATGTCTGGCCTGTCAATTGTACTAAATGTCAACTGTTATTTTCGAATTTTGTATCAGAATTATTCAAACAATATTCGTTTGTATCAGAATTAATTATTAAAAATATATGAGAAAAGTAGACGAGAGTGAAATCGAAGAGAATGTTCTGGCTGATCTCCAAGGAGTGAAAAAATGAAGCATCCATCTCTGAGAACAATTAATTTATTCTGCGCTAAGCATGGCAATAAACGTGAAACAAAGATTAGTAATCAATGGATTGGACACATCTACAACCAATATCACTTATACGTGTCTCGCTGGTTGCATGCAGTTTCATGTATTATGTTCTCAATTCCCATTCCTTTCGAATTATTTCGTAGGTTAGCAGGAATTGCAGGTATGTTAATGTAATTTTCGGAGTTCGTAGAAAAATCATAGTATTTAACGCGTTTATAAACTCGTGCTCAAAATACTCGTTACTTAAAGGACGTTTATAACACTTGTTACATAATATACTATTATTGTCTACTTCTATTCAGTTGGGCTATCTATGGAAGTGTGTTTTTTTAGTTCTTTATACTACCTATTATTTATTTCGAATACATCCCGAATTATAAGAGCAGATTTTTCATTTTTTCAAATTAGAGAATAATTCATGTACAGAGTGGATCAATAAGAAAACTGAATTTTCATGGCATTGCTAAGGCTGTGTCAAGTCATTCGTTCAACTACAGTGGTGATACCAAGATGGTCAATGGTTGACTTGAATCCCATCAGTTGACGTGATAACTTTGTGGGCAGGTTTGAAACGTGATATTCCCAAACAGCTGATTGGTCAGACTGATAGTCAGACTTCACACTGAACGCATGTGCCCGGTCAAACCACAGAATAAATCACAGATCATTTTCCATTTTGCAAAGATCACCCAAACACCCCATTGAAACGATGATTCAACGGTAGATACAAGATCTTGCGGAAATCACAGCCTGAGGAACCAACAACCCAGTCGAATTCAACGCCACCGAAATGCTAGCCTGTATTTTCACCATAAAGGCGGAACCAAGACCACTTCATCTATGCTCGGTATCATCATCAGCAATACTCTCTAAGAGGAAAATTATATTCGATCCATCGCAAAAGCTGCTTCACAAAAACTCGGTATCCTGTTCCGTGCGAAAAATCTACTTCACACCACAACACCTTCTCATGATCTACAAAGCACAGATACGGCCAGTTTTAAAATACTATTCTCATGTATGGGGTTCAGCACATAAAAATACACTGATGCCCTTAGATTTCATCCAGATGAGAGCCATTCACCTGGTGGGAGATATACCACACTCACAAACTCTTTGACCCCATTAGAACACCCTAGGAAAGTCGGCGACCTCTCACTTTTCTATAGATACTTTCACGAGAAATGTTCCTCAGAAATCTCTGTTATTATTCCATCACTAGCAATACCAGACAGACGAACTCGACAGGCCCAGTCAGCACATGCTTCAGTCGTTAACCATGAAAAATGTCACAAAACACTCTACGAAAACTTGTTCGTCTATACAACAGCTTTGGAATTCTTTGCTGATGGAAATATTCCCAAGAGCTCCGAAATTTTAAAAAAATATAACACCTACCTCCTTTCCCTAACCTCTCCAGGTACGCGCGATTATTCACGAACATTATAGCATTTTCCTTTCGTGCGCTCCGAGATAATAAAAAAGCTGATGATAATGAAAATTGCTATTTCAGCACTGCCTTCGATCACAGAGTATCTGTGACCATCCTGAGGCTTCCAGATGGTTTGGATTACAGCAAGCTTACCAAGGATGAAGACCAAATTAACCAGGATGCATCGATTATTTCGAAAAATGGCAATCAATTCAGAACTTCCGCTTCGAGCAACCTGATGCATGCTGATTCGAACTTGAGTTTGGTTGTTGTAGGAATTGCAGACAATAAAACCACAAGTGAGTTATCACAAAGCTATATCTTTTATTCCAACGCCAATGAAGAAACAACACATGAATATCCACACACTCAAATAATGGGCGAGTACCTATACACCTTGGTAGAACTTTTAACTCAAACCATGTTTATGATGATCCTTTTATACAAAAATAATGATTGACGACATAATTTGATCGAAAAATTAACTGGAATGTTTTATTTTTGGACATAAATAATAGTACCTCCTGAAAACAGACCCTCCTATGACGTAGAAACCTCATCTCGCCATAGTTAAAAGAAAATACCAAACGCCCGACGGAGGCTGAGGCAACTGATATATTAATTCTTTCAACTGTGATCCCGCGCTAATTCACTTTGTCAGAAATCATGTATCATTCATCTCTGTCTGGCATAGTCTTGTTTCAGTATTAGGCATTTGAAGTCACATCATCGCCTCGTTTTCAGATGTCCGAAAAATCGGGGATTTCAATATTTTTTTATAAAACGTAGGGAGCTCACAGCAAGAAACGGTTCGCGATAGTGAGCTAGTTTGGGCGAGTTCTATCGAATTATGAAATGAATTTTTTTTTGTGTTATAAGCCCATTACCTGATACAATGGTTATTTATTACGAACCAATTCTTCTCTGGCGAAAAACGGAGTACAAACCTAACCTAACAGGTGCAACTTCATCCGCGGAGAAGTGTCACCACACACTCATCACGTCATGAATACCTCTCACACACTCACTATGAAAAATAATCCTCCAAGTTATCCTCACGACATTTCGTCTTCTTCTTTATCATATTTCATTACTTTTTGAACTGAATACATGGAAAAATTTGAAACACCGCTAGTGAGTGCATCTAGGGAAATCTGCTACTCTTGATGGATGATCATATAGATAGTTGCATGACCTTTTTGCTGTAGTTATTCAGTTATTTTCCAGGATTGTTGTCATTGAGATAGGTGAAATTGTCACTGATGTCCAATTTCAATTTCCATAATTTCCAACCTGGTGTTGGTATGAATAGCAATTTATTGATTCCAGAAGAAAAGTTCGGACCAATGATCTTTGGAATTCAATAGATCAATTGACTCATGCACCGTCAGGAAAAACAAAAGATTTTTGAATAATTAATGAAAAAAAAATGGTTCTGAAACTTTCTGAAACCCTTGTATTTCGAAAACTAAGCGAGTTATCACCAGTGGAATCATTCGAATAATTTTATAATCTGGACATTTTTGGTCACAATAAGTTCTCAGATCACTTTCTATATAGAGAAGCTCTGGAACATATTTGACATTCAAAGTTTTATGGTACCAAAAAGAAGGAGATGTTGAATGTAAAACATTTGAATTTCAGTCGAAATACCTCGAAAAAACTCACCGTTATCATTCCCTCAATTCTGGTAATAACTGAAGCACTCAGATCTCCGAAAGCACTGATAGGGACACAGAAGTTTTTTTTATTCGTTAAAAAATTTTTCCATTTCATATTCGAATTCAGATTCAGATTTTAAATAATGAACTGACAGTTCTATTATTGGTAGTGAGTGCAGTTCTATGCGATGAAACTCGCAGCCACAAGCACTAGTAGTATAGTTCAGCTAGACAATTGAGAAAAATATCATGCTGTCTGCCTGATGGCGACAGCAGTATACCTTCCTGTGGCAGGAAATTCACTTTCAGCAAAGTCGTTATTGATATCATAGGATCTCAAGGTGCTGCTTCTATTCGGAAATGTATGTATAAAATGATTTCTTGTAATGGTAGCAAGAAATATCTCAGCAAAAACTCTAATAGCACAATTTTCCTCAGTGTGGTACAGGAAAATATAACTTGTCAAAGAGATATACTCTTTGGACAATAACGCATATCATTCACGTACCACCGACCGAATCATCTCGAGTGACAAACCATTATTGCCTAACAGCGACATTCTCAGCATGTCTAACGATACCTAGCTGTCGATGGAATGGATAGACATCATCAAAAGAAAGCAGACCAAGGGCTTCATAGACGTGTGGTGGTTGTACGACGACGGAGGCTTGACCATGCTGTTGCCTTACATCATCTCCATCAGGAACGATTTGGCAAGCAGCAATAAATCGAGAGTATTTGCCTTGGCTACTAATATTGTATCGATTTATTTAGGCTCCTTTCTTGCTATAGGTTGTTTTCCATAGCTAAAACAACTTTTCTACTCCTGTATCACTCAGAAATGTCAGGATATGAGATGGGGTGACTTCTTCTCCGCTATTATTTGTGCTCCCATAAGTTTCTTGCCCGTTGGGTTCTGTAAGGTGACAGACACATTCCGTGAGTACGGGGATAGAGGTTTCCTCCTCTTCGATCCCCACAGAATCTGCGTTGGTCCTTCCTTTTCTCAAGCCAAGCTTGCCCTATTAGGCCCTATTAGGATTCCCGTTAGTATACGAAGTTTATTTTTGCTCAGACTGATATATGCGTTCGATTTTATGTGATTTTATCTTCCCACTAGTATCCTAGCTTGTCTGTTACCTCGAATATTCTCCCAGATAACTGATACAGAAAATTATAACTATATCAAAGAGATACTCTTTGGACAATGACGCATATCTAACGCATATCATGCACGTATTGCAGGTCCTACCTCAGATCAAACCATATCGAGAGACACCCAGCTGTCGATAGTTAGGATATACATCTTCAAGGAAAGCAGAGCGAGTGCATCATAGACGTGTGGTGCTTGTATGACGATGGAGGCATCACCATGCTGTTGCCTTACATCATCTCCATCAGGAACGATTGGTCAAGCAGCAAATCTCGAGCATTTGGTACTAATATTGTGTTGATCTATTGAGGTCCCTTTCCTGCTATATATCCGATGAGGTTGTTTTCAGTAGCTGAAGCAATTTCTCAATTCTCAGAAATTCCAGGATATGAGATAGTTCCAGATAGGGTGACTTCTCCTCCGCTATTATTTGTCCTCCTATAGGTGTCTTGCCCTTTGGGTTCTGAAAGGTGACAGACACATTCCGTGAGTATGAGGATAAAGGTTTCGTTCTCTTCCTCACAGAACCTGCGTTGGTCTTCCTCTTCTCAAGCCAAGTTTTCAAAGATGTCATCTCAACCTGCAGTGCTCTATTAGGATTCCCGTTTGTATACGAAGTTCATTTTTGCTTAGACTATATGCGTTCGATCCTTTCTGCTTATGTCCCCAGTAGTATCTTAGTCTTTATATGACCTTGAATATTTTCCCGAATAGCTGATACAGGAAATTATAACTATCCCAAAAATATATACTCTTTTTGGGCAATAATGCATATCTAATGCATATCATTCACGTATTGCAGGTCCTACCTCAGACCAAACCATCTCGAAAGACAAACCATCCCTTAACAACGACATTCTCAGCATGTCGAACGACACCCAGCTGTCCATCGAAAGGATGAACATCTTCAAAAGGAAGCAGACCAAGGGTTTCATTGACGTGTGGTGGTTGTACGACGACGGAGGCTTGACCATGCTGTTGCCTTACATTATCTCCATAAGGAACGATTGGTCCAGTTGCAAATTGAGAGTATTCGCGTTGGCAACCAATAAGAACGAGCTGGAACTCGAGGAGAGAAAGTAAGTGGGGCAAATGGGGGAATTTCTTATTTCTGAAGTAAGGGTCGCTCAGCTGTGTGGACGTGTATACAGTGTGTCCATTTAGTGCGTAATTCTTCGATATCTCCAAAGCCATAACCTATGGAAAAAAACTTCGAAGGAAAAAACTTTTCAGTTGCTAAAGTTGCTCATTGCAAAAATATTTTCAACATTACTGGGTGTTTTATAAAAGCGGGATGACTCGGAGAGTTTTTTTAAATGGAACACCCAGTATATTGTTCATTCGGACTTTATTCCGCCGAGGTTTACCTTCACAGCGCTGCAAAAAAAATTGAAATCGGTTACGGCGTTACCAAGTTATAATTGATAAATCTATTTTTATACCATTATATTGAAGAGTAATGTTGAATTGGGCATGGTATATTCATTTATTCAAATTATGAGAATATGTTTGACGGCATACGGTAGTAGAGCAAGGTCTCACGTATGCCAATCCAGTAATTTTCTGACATGTTCTTCAACAGGGTGCTCAATTTTGTATTTAGAATTTTGCAAGATTCAGATGACATTCATCAGAATTTTTCAAATGGAACACCCTGTATTTTTTTTCACAAATCAACTCCGACATCCTTCGCCTTTTTATCACTGAAAAAAAATATCAGAATCGGCTGCGGCGTTGTCAAGTTATGGATAATTTCCTTATTTTTACTACTATTTCGGGGTATAATTTATACGTCATAGTTCTTTCATTCATTTGTAATGTGGAAATATCAAGTTGCTACGGTATAATGAAATTTCTTCATTGACCATTCATATATTTTTGTACAATAGGAACATTTACAGGTTCTCCAAGTTTGAATTTGAAACAGAGTGTGTTTTGACAAATTGTTCCAAAATGCTACTTTCACATATTTTTTGCAGACTATGAATCAATTTATCGAAATACACTTCCATTATTTGTGTGATCACCTGTCAAACATCGCCACAATCAAATATATCTTGAGTTTATTTAAAATTTTGCTGAATTCCCTCTCGAAACCCGCGTAGTAAATAAATATTGTTTGCATCATTATGTAGAGTTTGCCCCGGGGGTAACGGTTCGCCTCCTTCAAGTTTAATAGAGATTTGGATTGTGGGAATAACGACAACAAAAGTGGTCCAAATTTCAAAAAATTGTCCTCATTCTCGCAATTCAAATCTCCATTGTTTGTATTGTAGAAGTTGTTTGAAAGGCAGGCGTTACTTTTGGCATGTTTGTTCGTTTCACATAGGTAGGTACATATAATTCAAATCATAAATGCAAGATAACGGAATATTTCAAATTTGGCCAATGCATTCATCGCAAAAATACCTGAATGATCTATGTAGATCTGAATCTAACAATATTCAGAATGTACATTTTAGCAACCTGTGAAGGATAATTTCGCAAAATTACTGGATTGGTGTACGTGAGACCTTGATACTACTGTATGCCAAAAATATTTTCAAAATTTCGATAAATGAATAAACCATACCTCATTCAACATGATCCTCCAATAGTAGTGAAAATGGGTTTATCAATTATTACTTGGCAACGCCGCAACCAAATTCTATTTTTTTCACAGCGATGTAGAGCTTAACCTTTGCGGAATGAATTTTGAATAAAAAATACTGGGTGTTCTATTTAAAAAAACTCGTTACCGAGTCCTCCCGCTTTTATAAAACACTCAGTATTGTTGAAAATATTTCTGAAATGGAACCTTTAATAACGGAAGACATTTGTTTTCAAAAGTTTTTCACTAGTGCATGGACACACTGTATACAAATAATTTCACTAATCTTGTATTTCGTGCTCACTTCAACACGACATAGTTTGCATTCATCAGCCATGTTGGCTGCTCAAGGAATGTAACGAAATGTAATCCACAATTTATCTCATTTTGAGAAACAAAGTTCTTGAAGTTTGTACCGTAATGAAAGCAATAATGTTTACGCTACCTAACAGGACCAAAGATATTTCCATAGAGGCTTTCTTGTCAACCTGACGAGTATGCATTGATGATGGCTCAATAGCCGGAAGCGCTCTGCTATATGATATTTTGAATAAACTATCCTGCACGGTATACAAGATTTGTATTTCGTATTTCTTACAAGCGTCTATATAGGGTGTCTGTAAAAGGTTGGGACATGGCTCGGCTGTGGACTTCTGGGTTAAAAATAAGTTGATTTAGGCCAACTCACCTATATCCAAAATTGTCTCGCCAAATTTTGCTCATAGAAAGAGTAGATTGAAATCGATTCTCATAAATTTTGGCATGGCATGTTCTGTGACTGTAAGTCAGGTTTTGAGATGTGTTTGATCATCATCAGTGACCTTCGAGTGTTTCAAACAACCATGTTGCCGTACAAATTTGGTGATGACTTTTCAGAGGTCGAACTGAAACCTTCCAGTTTTTTTTCCAGAAAGATATTATCAGAAATATCTTTTGTATCGTGTCAATTTTCGGTAAGTCTCGAGGTTCATTTGCAAATAAATAATTTCTGATATGATGCATGCTGCGCATTTTTGAAAATTACTATAATTATAGTCGGACTGTTTATTGATCATGGCTACAATGTATTCTTATTGTATATACAAATTGCGTGACAAAGGACCCCGCACTTTTAGTACGTAAAATGGTTCTCGGTGAAATTTTTTGAATTTTCAGTATGTTGTAGAATTCGATGAACTGATTGAACCGGCAGAATCGTAAAGTTCTTTGATGAACAGATTTTGAGATACAGGGCGTTGAAGTTACAAATCGGTATTTTTCATTTAATTATTTTCTCGAAATTCAAAGATGCCAAGTACAATTTTCTACGCTCATATCATTAACAAATCTTCATATTACTCAACATATTCAGATGGTTCAGATGATGTAATTGTTTACAGAGTGAAACATATAAACAATTCAGTGATGTCTGAAAATTCGATGTAATAATGAAATATCGAAAAAATAATTTAGGCATGCAATATACTATTCTCATTCCATCATGAATCACAATTCATACATTTCATACAGGGTGATTTGAAAAATTGGTGACACCTAAGACCGATTTATTCATACACATCCTGTATATTCGAGTGAATTGTTAACCTCCCAAGATAGCTGATACCGTATGAACATGATTTCGTTGAGATATATAGAGTGATCATGAAGATTTTTGATGATGAAAATGACAAAAAATCGTGTTTTTTGTAATCACCCTGTTATTCATGATTAACTCGGTGAAATTCCCTAATTATTTTTTAATATATTCATCATTCGCTCCTCAACGCTGTCTTGAAAATTCAGTTTCCTATCATGACGGGTGTCACAGTTATTAATTCAGGAACTTACCATTTGCATGAAGAGTTGAAGAGACTTGTTCACTTACAGTTCCTGAATTAATAACTATGACACCCGTCATGATAGGAAACTGAATTTTCAAGACAGCGTTGAGGAGCGAATGATGAATATATTAAAACATAATTAGGGAATTTCACCGAGTTAATCATGAATAACAGGGTGATTTCAAAAAACACGATTTTTTGTCATTTTCATCATCGAAAATCTTCATGATCATCCTATATATCAACGAAATCATGTTCATACGGTATCAGCTATCTTTTGGGAGGTTAACAATTCACTCGAATATACAGGATGTGTATGAATAAATCGGTCTTAGGTGTCACCAATTTTTCAAATCACCCTGTATGAAATGTATGAATTGTGATTTATGATGGAATGAGAATAGTTTATTGCATGCCTGAATTATTTTTTCGATATTTCATTATTACATCGAATTTTCAGACATCACTGAATTGTTTATATGTTTCACTCTGTAAACAATTACATTATCTGAACCATCTGAATCATGTTGAGTAATATGGGGGTTCGTTGATGATATGAGCGAAAAAAATTGTACTTGGCATCTTTGAATTTCGAGAAAATAATTAAATGAAAAATACCGATTTGTAACTTCAACGCCCTGTATCTCAAAATCTGTTCATCAAAGAACTTTACGATTCTGCCGGTTCAATCAGTTCATCGAATTCTACAACATACTGAAAATTCAAAAAATTTCACCGAGAACCATTTTACGTACTAAAAGTGCGGGGCCCTTTAGCGATACCTATTCAGTATACCTAAGATGAGCACTTTAAGGCCTTGTACCAACTCAACGAAACGATTTTGGATATAGGTAAGTTGGCTAAAATCAACTTATTTTTATCTTAGGAGTCTAAAGTCAAGCCATGTTCCAACCAGATTATTTTTCTAAAAAATGCATAAGATGCCTCAGATCAGAAATTATTCATTTGCAAATGAACCTCGAGACAAATAAACAATTAACACGATACAAAAAATATTTCTGAAGGGAATATGTTTCTGGAAAAATACTGGAAGTTTCCAGTCCGACCTCTGAAAATTTATCACCGAATTTGTGCGGCAAAACGTGACTCACAGTCACAGAACTTGCTGAAAATTATGAAAATCGATCTCAGTCTACTCTTTTTATGAGCAAAATTAGATTTTTCCAAGAAAACTTCAACGGCTTGTACCAACTCAACGAGATGATTTTGAATATTGCTGAGTTGGCCTAAATCAACTTGTTTTTATCCCAGGAGTCCACATCCGAGCTATGTCCCAACCTTTAACAGACACCCTGTATATAGGTATACCGACTAATCTTTGAAATCTCGAGGTTAAGTGACGACAACCACAACACATAATATTTCTCCTTTCTTCGTACTGAGAACTTTCTAGTAAAGCGAAAGCTCAGTGCACTGTGTGACTGACTTCCGGTGGCTCGGGACCAATCCCTATATGGCGTGAATATATTTTGAAGTGAAAACTTCTTTGGGCGCGTTAAGTATTTTTTTGGGTAAAGCAGAGGATTGGTTATCGCGTCAACTTCACGTCACCGAACGCTTTGGTGAAATAGTCCCAAGAACTTTATAACCTCCAAAAGTTCGAAACGAATTCCAATACCTATACACCTCGATCCTCTCCCTATCCTCTGTAGGTACGCACAATATTCTTGCAACATCATAGGAATTTCACTGTCAACACAGTGGGCTTTGAAAGAATTTTCAAAAAACCATCAACTCGGGCCCTCTTTCAGATGGCTATAACTCCTCAGGGGGAGACACCCTGTATATAGTTATTCTTTGTATTGCATTAGTTTCATAAAAATATTCATGAAAACTGAAATCAGTCTCAACTTTTCAGCATGGCACACTTATTGTCCAAGTTCCGATTAGACTACTACAGCCTGAAAATGGTGTCAATCTGTGACAGGCCCCAGGATGCCACCATACATTTCTTCGAAAATTTGCTATCGAATTTCAGGACAAGTTTGGATATTCAAGAAAACGGTAATAACCTCTAGACAAATCAAAACGCTGTACTATAACTCACCCACCATTTTTTTTTTCAGACTGTAAAGTTAGTGAAGCGGAAATTCTAGCATCCCAAGACAAGTCGTATAGACAACTCCGTTTACGAGAACTCCTGTTAGAACATTCCAGTAGTTCCAACTTAGTTGTGATGTAAGTACTTATACTAGGTGATATTTTGAAAACTTGCCACCTTCAATATCTTCTTTTCAGTAAATAATATTAGTGGTGCCCGCGAGAGTCTCGTTTTCGAGTCTCGCATGGTCTCGTCTCGTTTTCGAGACAAGACTCGAGACGAGACTCGGACAAGACGAGACGAGACTTTTATTGGTCTCGTCTCGAGTCTCGTGCAAGACTTCTCGTGTCTCGTGCGAGAGTCTCGCAGGTAAATATTTCTGCGTGCCGACTGATGCAGACTCGAGACGTTCATTCATAATACAACATATTTAGAAATAATTCAGACTATTTAGCACAGATAGACAAAACATTTCATTCATAAATACTTTAAGAACACAATCCATGATTGTTGTAGAACAACGTAATGCGTGAAACGAAAACGGTCTATTCTCTATCTCACAGCGGCGGAATATAAAGGCAATTCTGCAACGACAGATCGCAAATTGAATGACTTGTAGAATTCTCAGTTTCAGTCAGAGTTCTACACCACCCTGTATTTGTTTCAATTAAATACGAGTAAATAGTAAATCAAAAGTTGAGACATGGACATGTAAGCCGTTTTGACCAATAATGTACAGTTTTGACACAGAAAATTCACAAAAATGAAAAATCTCGATTTTCCACACTCTATATCTCGGAAATCATACCCGCTAGACCCCAAGTGTGTTAGGTCGTTGAATTCAGCTCTACAGGGTCTTCCATTTGAGAAAATTGATGTTCGATTTTGTGAGCCTTTCTTGCGCCCCTCGTAGAAAATATAGTCATTCCTGAAGTTAGCACTCATAATGCGATATGATGTGAAATTATAATATTTTGAAAATTCCTATTGGTTTAGAAGATCAACTAACCCACTGGTCTAGGGACACCCCTGTATATGAGGTATCGAGAAAACATGTCAATTTTATTTTTAGGGGAATCACTTAAAACGCATATTTCTCTCATTTATCAACATGTGTCCAAAAATGCTGAAATTTTTTATTGTCAAGTTCAAAGTTTTTCATCATAGGAGCGACCTCACGCGCTCAAAATGGTTGTGGATATTTTCGGACAAGAAAATGATATACTTATTCTGCAACCGACACAAAGTCGCCCGTTTCAATACCAAAATTAGCTCTTGAATTGACGTTTCTATAACTGACACAAGAATATATACAGTGTGACCCAAGGATCCTGAAATTTGCTGGAGCGATAGATATACCAAAAATGCACACTATAACCAAGTAGGGTCATCTTCAGTGATATACACTGCTCGCCAACATCCATGGAACCAACCCAATATCCGGAAAATGATATTACTAGAAGTTGAAATAGGTCGATTCGGAATATTATATAATATTTTTCCTGGGAAATTTGCAGTTCTGAAAAATGAAAATTTGTCGCATTTTTCACGGAAGCATCCCCGTATCTTACGTATTTGACTTTACACGTTGATTGATATATTTTATTCTGTAATTTCATGAGTGGCTTCAAACGTGAAATATTTGTACTTACCCTAATAGATATTAGATATTGTAAATTTGAATGAATAATAAGACAGATATAAATAATAATAATAATAATAAAATGTCTTTATTTCAATAATCCTCGGCGAAGTCCAGTTGAAAACTGCTCCACTTAACCGAGTACCAATTTCACATGAAAGATTAACAAATAAAATTAAAAATGGTTAGGTACCTATATACCTATATAATACAATCTTATCAGGCTATAGTATGAAATATGCATGGTGTTCAGTTCTAAAACTGCCGCAGTAAAATCATTTCTCGCTCGTCAAAGAGGCTACTTTGTTAAGCGTTTGTAGAAAAATATATTTAATATTGTTAGTTAGGATGTCAACTTTCATGTTAATATCATCGGTATAGAAAATCTCTTGCCAATTTAACATTCGTAACTCTATGTCGAACTCTAATTGATTAAAATTGTTGAAGTCTCTATACTCTTAAAGTATCTAACAGGAGTGATAAATTTCGAATTTTATATAAAATAGGTACAAGCAGATTTTTCCTCAAATGATGTATATGTAGAGTCCACGATGATTGTTCATCGATATAAAGACCTAAACATTTTGTTACATATAGATATTCTACGGATTTGTGATTGAAACATATTGAGGTATTATTCAATATGTCAGTTATTCTTTTTGAGATGAACATACGTACGTAGATTTACTATAATAATTAAGAGTCAACTTATTGGTCATTAGCCAAGATGATATTTGTTTCTAATCATGTTTAATATCATTATTGATATAATTGAAAAGGAATATTCCCAGAGATATATTTATGATCACAAAAAAATGGATATATATATATATATATAAAGAAATACATTGAGAATTCGTACCTACCTATTCTCCATGTGATGAAAATATTAATTCTTTCTCGGTTTATTCAACAGAAAACAACTACTTTCCTGGCTATATGCCACGACGAACCTTGTATTTCATCTATTGAACACACACGATAAGAATTTGAAAACAAAATCTTCTGAAGTCGAGAATTTGCTCTCCTTTATATAAATATATGAACATAATATCATTCTGAATATTCAACAGAACATAACAACTACTTTCCTGGCTATTTGTCATCTCAAACATTGAATTATATCTGTTGAATATTCAAAAAGAGAGCATAGGTATATGAAAAATTAAAATCCTCTGAAATTGAGAATTGACATATTATCATTCATAAACATATCTGAGAATATTCCCTTACAATACTTTTACCCAATCAAGGGATTCAAACTTGAACGATGGAAACTTGTTATTTTTCTAGACCTCAATCGCAGATGCGTGATTAGGATTTCTCAATTAAGAATTTCTTTCCACGTCCTGTATGATGAATATCAATTTATCATACATTCAAAAAAGAGTTATTGTTATCGTTAAAATCTTTTGATGATGAATCTCTTTCAGGTCCCTCCCTATGCCAAGAAAAGGAACTGTATCAGCTCCCCTGTACATGGCTTGGTTGGAAGCCCTTACCAGAGACTTGCCCCCTTACTTGTTAGTTAGGGGCAATCAGCAGTCAGTACTAACTTTTTACTCATGAGCAGCTCACTATTATTTATTGTATTTTAGAGAAAATCATATAGTTATTAGTGTTTTTAGTAGCAATTGTGATATTTGAATTGATATTAAGAAAAATATTTATCAGCGTGTTAGTTACTTATATAATATATAATGTTTTTATCTAAGTATATTCTTTCGAGCAGTCTTATTTACCATCTGCTACAAGCCGAATAATGTTTGACCAACCTGCTGGAAAATAGCTTATTTCCGAAAAAGTCAAGAAAACCAGACATTTAAATGGTTTGAGAAAGCAATTTTAATAACTACAGAATGGAGAGAATAGTGTTGTAATAATACAATGATAGGAGATGTCTTTAGAATGGTTATTACAATCAGAGCTGGTAGATATTTTTAATATTCATCAGTTTCTCTCAGTGAAGTAGGTGAAGTCAAGAAAACATCTAATTTCACATCAACTTGTATATTTCAACATCATAGAATTTTTTTTACAAACCAAACTTATGCAACATATTGGCATATCATACAAGAATATACAGGGCGCCTCGGAAATGAGTATCATCATTTCGAAAAGTAATTTGAGATACTTTTGAAGATTCTACATGTTTTATTTGTTATTGTAAATGAAGATTCGAGTAATTTATAAAACTGCTATTCATTTTGAAATACATCGTATCGTATCTGATTTGATGGCGCATATTTATCATAAGATGACTTGAATCCGATTTAAAGGTTTTGGTTGATCAAGATAACCAATAAGTAAATATAATGATGAAAATGCATTCAAATAGAAACTAGTCTTGAGATTCTGGAATAAAACTCGATCACCTTCTGGAGATTTTGCAATATATTTTTTCCAAGAAAACGAATGATTGAGATATCCTCGATTTTTGCCTCATATATCGTGATGTGAAATGAAGCTAGCTTCTTTTCATTTTTCAAGATGCATGAACTCGGTTTCATCCTGTATACAGCGTGTCTCACTTTGAACGGCCCCCCTTCTATATAAGTCAAATAAGTCATGCGACTCATTCCAAATAACTAGGAATGGTTTCATAATAATTAATTCATATTGATTGCAAATGTTGATACGTTCGATGCCATTTTCAGTAAGGATATGTAATATAATTTCACTCTGCCATATGTTGTCCAAATCGAAACTAGCTGAACATATCCTTACTGAAGATGGACAACATATGGCAGAGTGGAATTATATTAAAATCATTGGAAAAGAAGATAACAGCCAGAAAAGAAAAATCAAGGAATCTGCTTGCATTCCTCTGAACGGAGATAATAGCATTGCTTCCTGTTCAGTTGATATAGATAGAAAATTGTATCAATAATGGAATCTGAGAATCAAAATAGTAAATCCAAGATTGATTAATGAAAACATCCTCTGTAACTCATTTGATTGACAACGTCACCAATAATTGTCACTGAGAATTGAAAATTGTCAAGACAAATACGAATTTGCTATTCAAATATCCATTTTTTATGTTGAAAAGGGAAGCAGATTCGTTCCCGGAATGTCCAAAGCTAAGTGGAAATTTGATATTTTTTCTATATACCTTCATTTCACATATTGGGATTCGAAACTATGAGAAACAATTAATATTATGAGGTAATTGTTCCCGTAGAAAAATGTCTATGATTTCAGGTAAAATCGACCCCTTTTTATTTGAATAAAAACGCACGGTACTCTTCATAATGACTTTTTTCTCCAAGCGGCAGGAATATACTGGCTTTTTCCTGCCGCTTAGCAGGCAGGAAAGGTGTCCTTTCACTGCCTAGGCAGCAAAAGTTTGTTGCTATTCAACTTTCCAAGGAATTCTAATGAAATTAGTAGTCAAAATTGACACTGACATTGAGCGAACACAAAATGATTGAGATTTCAATGAAAAATTACACACAATTGTTTTTTTTTCATCATTTGGAGAAAGAATTCTTGAATCTACTACTTTTCTGCCTAGTAAAACAAATGAATATTGTCTCCAAAAAACTGATCATATGGATAGTTATCCATACCAGTCCAAATTTGGCAATCGTACGATTGATAGCTAAGATATACAGGGTGTTTCATTACTAATTGGAAATATTTCAACCATAGAATCCCGAACTCAAAATGTGAAGATTTTAACCCAAATCACCCAGATAAAATATGTCTCTTGTCTGAGTTACAGGGTGTTTTATTCAAACATTTTGAGATGTTTCTTGCCAAGTTCTTCAAAACTATTTGACGTATCACTTTCATATTTGGAGGAAAGTGTAGGTATTATACACCCAACTGAATTATGTGAAATGAACTTTTCTAGCTATTACCAATTAACTGGTTGATTTCTCCCAAATTCTACGCCACTGTCGGAATTGCGACTCTATCACAAATTTTCGATTCTACAACAATTTTGACGTAGATATTGTTCTCTTTCTCCATGGCGATAAAGTCATTATTTTTCGAGATATTTCAAGTTAAACATAAATCTGCACAATCATTTTGATTTCAATGTGCATTAATTTTGTTAATATTTTGGAATCATGGATTGTATTCATCAATAAAATGAAACTTCAATCCATATTAACAATAAAAACATAATTACATAACAGACAGGAGCTATTACAAGGTGTTTAATCATGTAATATATAAAAAAATTTAAACTCCCTGTAACAGCTCCCGTCTGTTATGTTAATATGGATTGAAGTTTCATTTGCAATGCAGTGCATTGATCCAAAATATCGACATTATTGATACACATTAAAATCAAAATAATTGTGCTGCTTCATGTTCAACCTGAAATATCTCGAAAAATAATGACTTCATCGCTATGAGGCAACAGTACAATATTTACGGAGGAGGTATTGAAGTATCGGAAAATTCTGATGAAATTGCAATTCCGCCAGTGGCGTAGAATTTGGGAAGGATCAACCAGTTAATTGCCCCTGTCGTACGCCTCTGGTAATAGCTAGAAAAGTTCATTTCACATAATTCAGGTGAGTGTATAATACCTACACTTTCCTCCAAATATGAAAGTGATCCGTCGAATAGTTTTGAAGAACTGGGCAAAAAACATTTCAACATTTTTGAATAAAACACCCTGTAACTCAGACAGGAGACATATTTTATCTAGGTGATTTGGGTTGAATCTTCATATTTTGAGTTCGGGATTCTATGGTTGGAATATTTCCAATTATTAATGATAATGAAACACCCTGTAGAGGGTGGACCATTTAAAGTGAGAAAGTCTGTAAATTAGGAGTCTGTGGTTGGAAGTACGTGTTTATCAATAATTGAATGCCGACAAGACTGCAATAAAGACATATTGAATGCAAAAGTAGGCAACCCAATAATAAGTATCATTCTCATCTACAGATGCTAAAAATATACTACAAGTTTCAATAAAAAAATTGAGTTTACGAAATTAATGTATAAATAATCATTAGGTATAAAATAGTTGTCAGATGAAAAATATAAATATCACATTCGAAATACATATTTTTTTACATGTTAGGTACAAGAAACAAGTTTTCATCACGGGACGATAAGAATAAAGATTAAGGAAAAAAAAATCTGTATTATACATGGAGATGCAGATTCATTTTTGAATATCTTGACAAGACTTTTTTATTTTCTTTTTTTGATTCCTCTTTCTATTTGAGGAAGCGGTTCTTGGACCAATTTCAAGAAATAACTTCACATAAACGTATTTTGTTAAATTCTTTACTTTTGAAATACAGCATTGAAAAACTTAAATTTATGCATAGATTTTTCTATAGTCTACTCTGAATAGCTTTTCGTGATGGCAGAATTTAGCATTAAAACATGCAAATTTTGAGTCAGTTTCAACAAATGGTCCTTTTTTATACAAAATTGAATGGCACTTTCATCAAACTCACAAATATTCCATATTTTTTATTCTTGGTAAGCGGTTGCCTTGTAATTGATGATTCTAATTATTTCTCATAAACTTTGATACCCTGTATTTCAAGTTAGGACGTTCACGACCTCTACGTTCATATGAAGTTTCTTTGTTGAAGTAGGTCCAAGAATCACCCCCATAAATATTAGAACCAGGTGACCAGACACCAATTTATCCCCTTGTACTGCGTTGCTATATTGAATGGATATGTCAAATTTGGTAAGTACATCGATTTGATTTCAGGAGTGTTTAATTTCTCTTGTATCAGATACAAAGTATTTTTTTTTTCAGGAAATTACAATTCAGTATAGAAGTACCTTTCCAACAATATATAAAAGCCGTCCTTTCAATGCACTATACAGTGTGTCCCACTTACCATGCTCACCGCATATCTTTTTAACGGTGAGAGATACGAGGTCGGTTAAATGACACCAAATGTGGAGTTTGTCAAGGCCAACTATAATGTGAAAAAATATTTTGATAAAATCTATTCGTTTTTGTTTTATACGTAAAAAACAGATTTTGATCCTTTTCATGTCTCCTCCGTAACTTCTTTATTTATGAAATTATTCAAATAGGAATTTCACATTCTCATGGCAGTTTTTCAGAGTGATTTAGAATAAAATATAAAATTTGTACCAACTCTTCTAGAATTTGAGATATCAGCACCAACTTTAGTTTTTCAAATGTAGGTCATAACTCACTATGACTTAGTTACAAATAACTTTTTTTTCAACAACGGATTTATCGTTATTTATACAAGAACAGAAAATTATTTGGAAGCCGCCGTCTTGAATTTATAAATTTCAACAAAAAAATCATGATCTCCGACCTCAAAAACCCCCACTTACAAATTTTGAAAGGAATCGGACCAAATCTTGTCCGCCATCTTGGAGCAGCCATTTTTTTTTAATTTCAACAAAAATTCCATAACTCCGATTAACTTGAAATTTGGCAGGTGTTCATAATTTCGATAACAATACATTATGGAATTTTTGTTGAAATTGATAAAAATGGCTGCTCCAAGATGGCGGACAAGATTTGGTCCGATTCCATTCAAAATTGGTAAGTGGGGTTCTTGAGGTCGGAGATCACGATTTTTTAGTTAGAA